TGTATGCCAGACGACCCAGTTGCCAGGCCCTGCGCTAACCCACCCCGCCAGCATCGCCCTCGTCTCAGGCATCTGCGTCTTCTACATTCCCTGGTACTACAAGAATGTCATCATCAAACCCTACCACAACTTCCCCGAGCCCGTTGCAAAGAAGCTACGCAAAGCCCTCTTCTACAGCCGCGGCAAATGGCTCGACATTCGCGAGGCCAACAAGCACTTTCGGCAGGCCCTCGCCCTCGCCGACGAGCTAGGCATGGATCCTTTTAGCGACGAGATCATGGGCGTCAAGTACACCATTGCTCAGTTGTTTGAGGATGCAGGGTATTATAGCTTGGCCATTGACGTGCTCGAGATTATGCGCAACGACTGCCAGCGGTGGGTCGACGAGTTTTCGGACAAGCACTGGACAACGGGGAACCGCAGTCGGGTTAAGAAGAACATGGTGCAGATTAATCTGAAGCTGGGCCAGCTCTATGACATTCGATACGTTAATGAGCCGGAGAATGGCGAAAAGAGACTTGTCGAGGCTGTCGAGAGCGCGCTCAAAGAGCAGCAGCGGCGAGAGAAAGAGGGCGTCAAGAATGGAGAGGGACCATGGCTTACGAATGAAGAGATGGGTGGCACGTTAGAAGGTATGCGTTACGATCTATTCACACGTTCGATGCACTGACGTGACGCAGCTCTCGGGACACACTACGAGCAGTTTGACTCGCACTACCTAGCCACGCCTCTGTTCGTCAAGGCACTACAGCTATGTCCGCCAAACTCGTGTCACAGCGTGGTCCTGAGTACGTTCTCAATCACTCTATCATTACCTGCACAAACTAACCCACGCAGTGAACAACATCTCAACCTGCCTCGTCCAGCAAACACCACCCTCCTCCACCGACGCAATCACCATGTCCCCCCTCCCCTCCGACTTCCCCGTCTCCAACACCGTCCCGCGCGCCCTCCTCATCGAGCAAGCTCGCCAATGGGCCACAAGCGCCCTACAGCAAGCCAACCAAATAAAAACCTCAGACCGCACAGAAGAATGCGACATGGGCTGCGCAGTCGCAACCCACAATCTAGGCGAGTTCTTTGAAATGGAAGGCAAGACTGCCGAAGCACGCAGACAATACGAAGAAGCGGCTGCTCTGGCGAAGAAAATGGGGTTTACGGAGGGTGTGACGAATGCGCGGGCGGGATTGAAGCGGGTGAAGGAGTTGGAGAAGAAGATTGTAACGTAACGACCTTTTGCACTGCAAAACATGTATGTATATGTATGTGGAAGAGAAGAGAAAATCAAGCATCGCATTACAAATGATAACATAGTTCGGTCTCCCCTTGGAAAGAAAGAGCAAAGGCTAAACTACACAGTGTATATCTCTCCCATCCATCCATCTATCCATACTCATGAGTCCAAAACAAGAACGGCGCGCCGTGATAAATCTTCCTGTATCTTCGCAGAAAAAAAAAGGCCCGATGGCGAAGACAGCTAGTTACATTCGTATCATCCGCTTCTTCCTTTGCCCCTCCCCCCCCCATTTCAAAGAAGAAAAGTGGGGAGAAGTATGCAAGTCAAACAAAAGCATGTATATGTAATATGTACACCCCCCCCCTTCCCTTTCCCTTTCCCTTCTCAACTCCCCTAGTCCCTGAACGAGAGGACTCACGACCCCGTAATAGTCGCACTACTAACCGTCCTCTTCCACCCGGCCCATCCCCACCCTCCACCTCCTGCATTCCCCCCAACCGGCTCCTTAGGCATAGGGCTCGGTGTCACAGCCGGTGTACTTATTGGTGTACTACTTGCGCTCCCGCTTCCACCTGTACTTACCATTCTCTTCAAATTCTCAAACCGCACCTTGAACTCCTCGAGTTCCTGCTTCGCCACCGCCTCCGCTGTCTTCGCGTTGACGAGTTCAAGCAGAAGAGCCTCGTTATTTGCGTCTGGGACGGCGCCGTCGGCGCCTGAAAGGAAGGACTGTGTGGCCAGCGATGAGGAGCGCTTGGTGAACATGGGGGTAGGGTGGGAAGACGAAAATTGGCGTTCTGATTTCTGAGATGGGGTACGGCCGAGACGGAGTTCGCGCAGGCCGCCGGAGACGCTATCGGAGGTTGTGGAGCGGGAGAGTGAGGGTGGGGTATCGGGGGTGGTGTCTGTTCCGCCCCAGGAGGAGGTGACGGCGGATTGCTTGCGCGCGTGCTGTCTTAGCTCTTGGATTGTTTTCTCTTGACGTTGGTTCTGGTTGTAGCTGTCTTGCAGGCGCTGCCGTGTGTCTCGGAGGGCGTCCCGTGCGATTTGGAGTTCGGCGTCGCGGTCGCTCAGGTCACGGGCGAAGCTATTGACGCGCAGTGTTTCGTTGGCAAGTTGCTCTTTTGTGCGGGTTAGGTTCTCTTTAAGAATTTCTTTGGTTTCAAAAATGGAGGAAGCGCGGTGGTGCCCTTGGGATTCGGGGAATTGCGATTCGAGTGTCGACACTATTTCGGAGGCCTCTGCGCTCAGTTCATTCGAAGCTGCGCCCTCCTCGAGGGCCGCAGCGACAGACGCAGCGGTAATTGTCGTCCGCCTCCGCGATGCTCGTGTGGATGGTACGGCGAGTGTGGATGTCTTCTTCCGGACCTTGTCTACTACTGTCCGCACGATGCGATGGTCCTCTTTACGATCCTCGCGCTGCTTTTGCAGTGCGGCTTCAAGCTCGCTATTCTGTCTTTGCAGCTGGCTCACAGACATGAGTAGCTGTTCAATCTGGTAGTGCAGGTCCCTATCTCTGGACGAGGCGCCCATTGCCATGGAGCCATGGCCAGACTTCATCGACAGGGCGTCTCCGTTGGACGCACGCGAAATGTCTGTCAAGGCTGTGCTTTGCGTGTTTGCTGAGGCGTCTGAATCGGCCATTGAGTTGAGTGTTGAAGCCAAGCTCTGCTTGGAGGCTGAGCGCCTTAGGAAGCTCACAGGCCGGGAAGGCGCCGAGAGTCCCGGGCTGAGTGAAACAGACTTGGTCGAAGAGTTGGACGGGCCCCACAAACGGCCCAGGAACGACGAGGCCGACTTCTGGACCTGCTGCTTGGACGTCTCCCTATCCTGGGCTTCCTTGTACTGCTGCTCCAACCCCTGTAACCTTTCCCGCGTCACATCATTTGTGAAACCGACAAAATCGGCAACCAACTCATCGGCAGACCCCGCGTTTCGGCCATATGGATCCCAGAGTTGGCGGCCAAGCAGCAACTGCATGACATCTTCAAATTCACTTAATGACAAGAGCTTCTGCTCGTTGCGCTTCATGAGAGCAAGTGCTACACGCATGATTGTCTCGGAAGCGCCCTCGGCGAATAGCACATCGTAGATGCGGAAGAGCATGGGCAGCGGGCATGTGACAGCGAAAAATGAAAGGAACCATTGTGAGAGATATGCAGATTCGACGCCTTGGTCATCGAGGTGCTGCGCCAGCGCGGGCATGTGATGGTGGAGCAGTTGCTGGAACTGGAAGATGCGAAGATGTAGACCAGAGAGGTCAGGAAGGAAACATGAACGAAGATCGTAGTCTTCCATGAGTCTGCGAGGATTAGCGGATGCGGAGTCAGCAAACCACAGTGACGTACCTGACGAGTACACAGAAAGCCTCCTTGTCACCCATCTGCATCAGCAGTGGACCAACGAGGAAACCGAGACCCTGGCAGTAACCAATCTTGTGGTCGTACAAACTAAAGCACTTGAGCACACGGCCAAGCATCTTTTGGCCCTCACCATCGGCATCCTTGAACATGTCAACACCAGGGAAGCTCCTTCCAAGATCCTTGTTGATGATGTTCTCGTACGGGCTGGATTCGCCACACAGTGTCTCATACTGATCCTCAATCAGCTTCTCCCGTGAGCCAGCTGCACTCTGCCATACAACGCCACGCAACGGCGCCGGGATACCTCCTCGAATCTTGTTCAAGCAGAGCGTGGGCAGACGCTGGACTGTCTGTGGATAATCACGGACGAGGGCGGCCCAAAACTCCAACTCGGTCATGGGTGGCGGCGAGGGCAGCTGGGAGAAGCGGACCTGTGCAGTGTCATGGGCGACGAGGCGCTTGAGTTGGTTGATAGAGGGGGGCCGCGACTGGCTGCGGGCGCGAGAGACCTTCATGTTTGCTTTGGAGTCTGACATGATGGCGTCGTTTTCCTGCTCGAGTCGAGCGAGCAGCAAGGCCATAGCCTAGAAGAAGAAGAGAGTCAGCAGACGATGGGGATTAGATATCGTGAGTGGGCGCGCACCTCTTCCTCGCCCTCTGGCTCCTGTTCCTCCTTTTTCTCGAGCTCGGCCCAATCAACTTCCTCGCTCTTGCCTGAACCATTGCTTGTTCGCCTCTCCCTAGTATCTATCTTGGGCGACTCGGGCGCGTCCGTGTCCCGGACAGAGATGGTCGGGCTTGTTGGGGTGGTGGTTGCATCGGCGCTCGTCTGGCTCTGGCGACGTCCAAACGCCTGGCGGATCTCGATTGAGTCTGCCCGCGACGACGTCCTACGCTCGCTGACGACAATGTCTGGCTGCACAGGCGAGACGGGCGAGGTGGGCGAGCTGCAGGCAGACTGCTCTTCTTCTGGTGTTCTGCCGTCCGTCTCTGAGAGCGGGACCGTGACCATGGAGTCTGTTGGCAGTGGTGCGCTGTCGACATGGGTTCTAGGAGAGCGCTGCACGCTTTGGTCCACGGGCTCTACTACCGTGGGCTCTGCCGTGGGTGGCATGGAGGTGGCTACGTCGGTCATGGTGCGGTCAGACGGGCAGCATCGAGGGACGTAGGGCAGTGGGAGTTTGGGTGAATAGAGGTTGGTCTGTCTGCAATGACGCAGCACAGCGGTGCAACCCCTCGGTCAAGGGCCAAATGGCAAGATTGGTAGCTCGTTCAGCGGGGCGCGAAGAACAAACGGCACTGGTGTAGAGCGTGTTTCAAGCGTGTGGAATAGAGGGTTGCAGCCAGGATGGTGTCGTGACGGCAGCTGGACTGGTTTGCTCGAGCGCGCAAGACACGAAACACGTCGTCAATGGAGTCTGCTTCGAGGCACACTGAGCAAAAGGAGCGACGTGCAAAAGAAGAGCAGGCGGCCATGGTGGTGCTATGTCGAAAGGAGCATCAGGAGGCCGAGGGCTGACCCACCTGCGTTAGCGCCTTATCGCAGAGCGGTCAAGCCAGGGTCAAGCGTCCCCACCATTGGCTTCTGGCCTGCCGCCCTAATCACCCAGCGGCCACCCAGCTGCTACACCGACCACCTTGGATGTGTATGCATCCCGATATTTCATGCACCCTCTTACTCGCCGCACGCTCGCTGATGTCACCACGCCTACCCGCCAGGAACCACCTGCTGCTGCTGTTGCGCCTTGTGCTTCCATCGTGTCTGCATTTCGCGCTTGCCACGCCCGACTACACGCGACTTGCATCCAAATACACGCGACACCACGTGCCTCACCCCGACCCTCGGCCAATCACCATCGCCCGCCGCCAAACCACTGTTCGCATCCTGCACGACTACCTACATGTACACCACCTACCACCGCCAATCACCCACACTCGACGTATGCGCAATTCCTGCGGCCGCCCGCTAGTCCTCTTTGCCTGCTAGCTTCATGTAAGCTGGTCCCGCTCGTGCGGGGGTACTCGGCACGGAAGAATCCAAGTAGCACCTCAACATGGCCCACGGAGTATAAACGACTACACTTGACCGCCTCTTCACCACGCCACTGACTCCTGTCCTTTGTACTCTGCTCTTTACACTCGTTCGCTTACCACAAGCCTTGCTGCTACCACTATCCTAGTCCTGGTTCCCCCGCCACTCGTCTCCACGCGGGGAGGCGGTTCATTCAGAATTTTTTTTCATGCTACTATCTTTTTGTCCCGGCGCGCGCGGCAGTCACGTCAGGTACATATGACACGTCTCGCGAGCGCGGCGTCACAGATGGCACGTCCTGGTTCGCAACAAGCAAAAGGCTTAGAGCTTTGTTGTCTAGAACGTACCTTGTCAACGCTGTCATGCACCTCAGACCAAGGCACCCATGGTTAACAGATTGACGTTGGATATGTGACGGCGAATTTCCGAGATAATCTGGGCACATCCCTGTTACATTGCCCTGGTTAGTATCCACACGCGCTGTTGTTGGAGTAGGCGTAAGAGAGGACGAGTGTTTAGCCGACTAGCGGCTTACGCCATTTAAAGTGTACGCTGCTCGCCTTTGGAAGAGAGATTAGCGAGATTTGACGAGGCAGTGTTAGAGTAGTCTTGCTGATGGTATATGGTATAAACGCGGCGAAACTTTGTATCGCTCGTGGTAAGAACGCGTTGACTTGACGCTTATGGATTTGCAGTCGTGTCGATTCCAAAGCCATGGTTTGTGCTCGCAGCACGTCAGAACTACTATATTTGGCGATTTAGCGAGACTTTAACGCGCGGTAGAGCTCGATTGCGTCCCCCGATCTTGGGTCTGAGCTATCGGAGCAGGTTAGTTCAAAGGTACTAGCGGGGCTATACAAACTCTCACAAGTAGGCTCTATTTGGACATCTTACTAGTCTTTTGTTCGACAGCAGTCGCTCTCCTCGCAAAACTCATCCGCTATCTCGAACCATCTCTGTTTTTACCCACTTCGACGCAACAATTCATATCCTATGAGAACCACGGGGTTATCAGCGCCTTGACCCCGTATTGCAGAGTCAACCATCAGATTCGACATACTCCGACCCCATTGCGTGGCGTCGCACAATTCGAAAGCTGACCGGTTACTAAAGTCGAAAGATGATATTGTTACTTCATTATCAGACCTAATAAATCTACGCCCTGTAGTGTAGTAGTTGCATAGTTTAAAAGCTAGCTAGCTACTAAGTTGATAAGGTGAGATCGTTAGTCCTTTAGGCGAAATGTGGAAGAGCACCTTGTTCACATGGTTGGTTTGCGTCCAGTCACCGGCAGAGCGATTTCACCTTGGTTCAGTAAAGCCGAAAGTATTCCTGGGCTCCACGCTGTCGTAATAGGATTGGTCGCTCGCGTATCCAACGTCGCCCGTCCAAAAACCGTCTCGTGTTCCGACAAACTGCCAGTATGTTATTCAAGTAATATACATTGCACGGTTGTTAGATAAGGGGATGTGGCTGGTACATCGACCGCGCACCGACTGATCTACTATTTCGGTGCAAATGCCTCCAGAATCGATATGTCAATCCGCTGATGGCCTGGCATACCGGTTGTGCTCACCATAACGATATGTAGTAAATTTCGTCACTTTGTAACCCTGCCAGCATACATCCATGTCCACCATGATATGTTCAAACATATACCTCGATTTCCCTCCCTCTCAACTAGGGCAGACTAGGTACAATATTACTAGTTAGCAATGAAGTTCAAAGATATACTTACGAGTTTTTTTTTTCTTTCTTAGAAAAGCGGCAACTGAAAGTTCCCTTCGAAGGGGAGACTTTTCTATTTGAACATAGTGAACTGCTAGAATCTATACATTGATATATCATCCAAGGCCATGTAAACATCTGTCTATAATGCTTAGACATCAGATTGCCAGCACTTTTCCTATGTTCAATTATTTGATATGGCACTGAGACTCGGTCTGCCACCAAGAAGAGAGTCAGATCATTTGGTGCCCGTATTTCGCCTTCGAAGAGCGACTCCGCCGAGCATACGAAACTCATCTGGGGCTAAGGGACTTCAATGCTGCTCGGCACACATGTCGAGCGTAGACCGGGGCTAGCTTGATAGAAATCTACTAATAGTAATGCTAAAAAGGGGTGGCTGGCTGACCGGCGTCGAGAGCAGCTCCGTCGAAACGGGCGTTGCAGCTGGACATCATGTTGTATAAAAGATTCGAGTAAACAGAGAATGGTCGCCCAGCTCTCGACTGTACAAAGAGTGCGCCTTAGCTCCAGGGTGTGCGGGAAACTGGCCGAAAGTAGAATATCGATATACTAGGAAATCAACGCAGGATTGAACCATCCAACTTCCAGAGGGAAAAACAGTACTTCTTGATAACAGCTACTACGAGATAGACTAAAATAAAGGGATGAGATACGCCACACCAGTGGAACAGAAGGGTGACAATAGACAGGATGGTGATAGAATGTGCTGGACTTGGATAGCCACGCAATGAGTTATCCAGGGAAAATTTACATCTGTCGTTATCCACTCAGTAAGAAGTGTGTCAAACAATATCTTCACTGCCATATTCCAGCATCCACATCCTATTATGAGACGCTCAGTCAGCATCCTCAGCATCCTCCTATAAGCAGACTCGCTCTCTCTTCAAACGCTAAAAGATATACTTCCTCGTACATGACGAAGGCGTTGAGGACATCGTTCTGAACTAGTGCTGCAATATATACATTTCAAGGAGCCCGGAAAGTAAAATGTCCAAAATAAAGCGTCTTTTTTGGATTTGATTGAATGTCTCGTAGAATGTTAACGTGTGGTTAGAAAGACATTTCCCTCTTGATCTCAGACGTTCTCCTTACTACCATATCTTAAAATCTTTCCCTTGAAATCCCTCCACAAGTCACTCTATCAACCGCGTACATCCAGCCTCCCAGTAGCTTGTCCAGCTATTTCGTATATAAGCAATCGCATGTGCGACGTGAGACATCCAGCCTCCATCAAGAAACATATAGACATAATCAACCACTCTTCCTAAGCATCTATATAAAGACACTAGTACGTCTATTCAGCGAGCCTCTCCCGCTATCATGTCTGTCCTACCACATACCCTCCCTATCCAAAATATCTCCAGAGCATCCCGTTACACCCTGCGATTAATCAACCCCATGGCATTATCTCATCCATATCCGTTGCTCACCTCGAACAAGCTATATGCATCGCCCATAAGTAATTATCCACGTAGTATACTACATTAAAATCACCTATTGCATAAGAAAAACAACGGCCTTCTCAAACCTCCAGCACGTCATGGTAGATATCTTTTCGAAGAATTTCAAACAATACCGTTATGCGCGCATGTAGGATAAAGCGTAACTCCAACCCTCAGCATGCAACTTGCAGCTACCAGATGCACACGGACATTCCGATAGAAGCCCAAGAGTCCCCCCCCCCCAGATCAGCGCAAGAGTTGTAAAGAGAAAGAGAGATCGAAGGGGGGGGGAAGGAAAGCCTTATATACACCCACCTACCCAAACCCTCTTCTTTTTCCCCTTCCGATACCGCACCCCCTCCCCCCCCTCCCCATGCATCCCCAATCAACCCAAACATTCCCCTTACGCAACTCCATCCCTTTTCTTCTCCCCACGGGGTAAGTAAAAAAAAATCCCCTTCCGCACCCTGTTTATTCTCACCCGAAAACTCCCGTCGCGCACGCGTAACGTGCGTGGTGTTTTACGTACAAGCGCTCGTATTCGGCAAAAGCGGCAGTGTAAAAAGATTTGTGGGGTAAGGTAAGATGGGGTAGGGGATGGGGCTTTGTCGGGTGAGTTTTGTGGCGTTTTTTTGTGAAGGGGGGGGAGGGGGAAGGTTTTGCGGGGTGGGGCAAGGGAAGTTATGCGTGGAAGGGTTCTGGAAGGACTAGTGGGTGCGGCGAAGGGGGAAAGGAATTAGGTAGAGACTGCGTTGGATACGTCCTTTGCAGGATATGGATTGCGCTTGATTCGTAGTTCTTCATGGAGAGAAATGGCGATGCGTATGCGTGATTATGTACATGTGTTGAAGAGACAAAAAAAGAAAGAACTATTAAGCTCTGATGTGAAAGTCGCTCAATCCTCAAAATCCCAATACGCCTTGTCAAGTATACCCTGCCACCCCTCGACAGACTCCAACCGCGGATCCTCATCATCCTCAAAATTGACCAGCAAATCCGCACTCGTGCCCACGCATGGATACGTGCAGCGACACGGAAACACCATTTCACGACTGTGACTCCGAAGGAGGATCTCCGCCTTCATTGCGTGCTCCATGCTCTTCACCAATTCCGTATCCCCATCACCCGCAGCATTAAGCTTGGTCTCCCAAAAGTCCACCGTAGACGTCTTGATGCACCCACTCAAACTAATCTTCACCCCCTTCGTCGTACGAAGATTGCGCAGCGTATCCCACGCCATGACAACCCAAGACTCAATCCACTTCTTCTGACAAGAATGGGGTCTGCTTTCCGAACTCGCCATAGCCCACGGACACCGCGCGAGCCGATGCTTCGGACTAATAAACCGCAGATCGAGCGTCTGCAGCCCGTTTAACAGTGCTAGCTCAGTGAGCTTCATGACATGTGGAGCCTCAGCGCGAAGCGGATATCCGCTGTTCGGATAAATCCCGATGCAGGCAAAATGCTCCCTCGCATCCATTTCGATCTGGATGTGCCGCAGGAAGCCTGTTTGGAGAGCAAGCTCCGGTGGCATGCTCAGGGCGTGCTGCCATATCTTGAACAAAGATTGCCTAGGGCCTCTAACCAGGCCTGAGCGCAGCGTAGTGAACCGCTTGATCGACTCGCGACATGCTACCGAGCAGGATTGCCTGCAGACCTGCTTGTTGACGTAGATAATGTTCAGGTTGGGGCGGGGGACATCTGGGTCGCGGTTGCGTTCTGCAACGCTGGTGGGCCCGAAGAACTGTCCGACACCAAAGATGAAGCGTCTTGTGCCCTCCGTCACGATATCAGGTACAACGACGGGTTCGATGACGTGACGATAGATTTCTTCACGCAACTCGAGAGGGAGTTGAAGGAGCTTGAAAAATTTACCCGTCTTTGCCCACCACTTTTTCTGCTCGTCGTACTGCATGGGAGAAAACTTCTTGGGCCATGTCTTTTGGAGATCGGTGCAGTAGGTGTCGCGTATCCATGATGTCGCATCACGCATGTTGCTTGTCCCCGTCCCGATAGTCATGCCCTCGATTTTGACATTTTCTTGGTTGAGAATGTTGATGGCGACCATGCGACGCGAATGGTCAATCGGCTCAGTGAAGGTGTACCAGCCGGCATTTTCAAAATCATCATCTTTTTTCTTGGTGGCTGCAATGCCGTATTGGCTAGCCGGTTCGATCTCAAGAAGGCTTTTTGCATTCTTGTAGCAGTAACTATATTTTCCAAGGAAAGAAAAGTCGCGCTTGCGTTCCTCCTTGATAAAGTCGTGGAGGATGGCGATGACGCGGTCTGAAAGTGGTTGTGGCTTGCAAGGTGCCTTGGCCTTACTTTCGCTAGTCCTTTCGGGCATAGCGCCGGTAGTTGGAATAGTTACTTGATCCATCTTCAAGGTACTCGTGATGTCCAATCGATGATAGATTTTTGTCGTGTCAGAGTGCAGAAATGATTGATTTTGGAGATGAAAATCATAATTCCTTTTAATGTCGCTTGAAAATATCGAAATTCACGTTGTAGTTTATCCAAAATCCGCGATGCTGAGCAGAAAAGGCCACGCTATCCACATCTAGACTAGCGTGGGCTGAACCAAAGGAAAGCAAGAGAAACCGATAGTTAATTCATGGTTGGAAGACCCTACTCTTCCAATCTGGGTTTCTGGATCCGTTGAGTAAGTGTCTTCACTGGAAAGCTTATCACAAAATGGTATTGGAAAATTGAATGTATGATTGATTGACAATAAAACGATGTCGCTATGCTAAAGACTCATAAGTCATAACAGATAAACTGCCCAAAAGGGCATTTGGTATATATACATGATTGTTCTTCGTGCGTTTATGCGTAGGCCGATGCCTTGCAGGTGAATGGGCTCCTGACATCACCAGAGTTGTACTGGGTGATGATGTCCTCGACAGAGGCATAAGTTCCAGCGCCCAAGACGACCATTCCAATGACGAGAACGATTGCGTTCAAGATGCTGAGGGAAATGTTCTTGGCTGAAGCGTTCCACTTGCCCTCCTTGACGAGCTGGAACCAGAAGAGGGCGGGCCAGTAAAAGGTAAAACCAGAAATGAAGAGCGAGGAGATGAGACCAAGCAGGGCGTTGAAAAATGGAATGGCCTCGGCGATGATCCATCCAATAACAGTGACGAGAGAAATGAGGCCAACCCAGACGGCCCAGCCACGGACATCCTTAACGAAGCGGATGGGAGAGCTGGGGAAGAATCGGTCCATTATGTAGCGGCAGACGACGGTGCCGTTGATGGAACCAGAAATGAAGATGACGGGGAGAGCAATACCAAAGGCAATGCGGGAGACCGTAGAACCGGCAGAGAGGAGGGCGGGCGACTTGACGCTCTGGCCAATGAAGGCGTAGCAGAGGGCACCAGTGAGGGTGTAGATGAAGATTTCAATCAGACCAAGAGCCCAGATGGACTTGACGTAGTCCTTGGGAGTGTGCATCTCCGACATGAAGGAGAACTGGCAGACGGCAAACGAGTATGCGAAGATGATGTTGGTGGTAGCAAGGAAGGCCTGGTAGAACGTGGTTCCTGGTTGTGGCCATGCAGACCAGTCGACAGCGGCAAGGCCACCGGGCGCGTTGTGAGCCTGGACACCAGTTGCAATAATGGTGACGAGAATGGCGGCAATGATGCTGACAAAATCAATGTAGCCCAAGAATGCAAAGTCGTGGAAGGTAGGAGGCAGCGCAAGGACCAAGAGGATGATGAGGGAAACAACACTCCAGACCAGGGCGCAGGTAGCGTAGTCGCCAATAATGTTGATAAAGGCAATGGTTCCGGTAAGTGCGTGAGATCCAACAAGCAGAATCAAGAAGAGGGCAAACATGACACCAGTCAGTTCCTTTCCAAAGCGGCCCCAGATGAGTTCAACAGCGTCCGAGTAGTGGTTGACATGGGGGTATCGCATCTTGACCTGGCCGACGACGTAGGAGGTGTAGATGGCAACAAGACCAAGACCCACACACATGATGGTACCGGGGACCATGCCGAGAGTGGCAAAGGCGCTGGGAATACTGAGAGAGCCGAGGGCAATAGCCTCGACAATCAGACAGACTGTGAGCTGCTTCCAACCAAGGCGGTGGAACTTCTCAGATCCTTCCTGAACAGTGGCCGTCTTGTCGACGGGCATCATAAGCTCCGGGTCGCTCTTCTTGCCCTCGGAAGAGAGGTCATCAAGGCGGTAGTTTGGAGGAGCAGCGTAGTGTCGAGGAGGGATGCTGGTAGGCGCATCGCCTGCGCCGTGGGCGTGTTGTACCTCCTGCATCTTGGACGAGGATGAATGTGTGTCCAAACGAAGGGGGAGTAAGAATGTGGACGAGAAAGAAGGGCCAACCTTTGTTTTTGGCGGCGGGTGTCTGCTGACGAGCTAGTCTACCGTCTGTTCCCAAAGAAGCAGTTGCAGTGCAGATGATCAAACGGGTAGCGGGCAGCGTCGAGTAAAGAAGGGTTGCTGCTCGGTGACGTAGTCTACGTAGTCTGGGACGAGGAGACTAGCAGTGTGCAGCAGGCGCAATAAATAGGTAGGCGTAACAGTGAGGCGGAAGAGACGGCCATCTTTATATCGGAGTTGCTTATCTCTCCGCCCGTTGTGAATGTGTAATAGAATGTTCCAAATGGTGGCTCCCCCGCGCACTCCCAAGATGGCGGTCGACCGAAGTTGACCGAGAGCAAGCGATGGACGAGGTTAGCGGTCGTCGGCTTAAGGCAGCGTATCGAACCAGTTCATGGTACGTGCGATTAGCAGGGGAGCATCTAGTGGCGTTGGGGACGACGAGGTTCCACATGGCGCGTCGCAGTTGACGTAAAATTTTCATCTTTTTACGTGTGTGAGTGGAAATGCTGGGACGTGCTTAGGACCAAACGGCGGCACTCAACTGGGTTTGTCGGGGCCAGTGCCCCAGATGGCATGCGACGAGGGAAGCAAGAGACCTGTGCATGTGGCCTTCCCCCGCGTTGTGCGGGAATAAGCTGGCGGAGGCATTGGATTGCGCGATGGGAGTGTATGACGTGCCTGCGCAGCGCAGTGATGTTTTGCGGTAGGGCTGTGGTGGCTGAATTTGGGGGCGCGGACAAGCTCTCTTACCGCACCCACCCGAGCCTCGGCGGGGCTTGTCCGCGCCCTCCGAGCAGGTACCCGGCCTAGCGAGAGTCTCTTCCGATCCTGGTCGTTGCCGCGCCGCCGCCCAGCAAAACCTCTGCCCTCTGGTCCAGCTCTTGCTCTAGCACTCACTTATCTGCCAACACTAGTGAAAACGAGGGTCTTGTGGAGTGCATTGCCGAGAGAGGCGCCTGCCAATCACACTGTCCACCCACTGTCTGTCTATTGTCTGTAGAAAAATCCCTATCTTTACCCCAACCTTTTCGCTCCTTCAAGGACCTTGCATTCACCCATGCACCCATGCACCCATGCATGCTATAGACAGGCGCGTGCCGTAGCGCTACTATACTACATTGTAACTCCAGATCGCATGCAACAGAACCTTCTCACCTCCACAAAGCAACCCCCCTGCCCCCCCCCGTCTCACGCGACACACGCCCTCAACATTGCCGCCTTTTAAAAAAACATGTCAAGGCCCATTGGCTCGCCGTCGTCCATCCGTGCCCATGTACTACCTATCTACGCAGCCGTAGTCAGGAACTCATCGACGACGTGCGGGTCCTTTTCGACTTCTACCGTGCTTCTACCGCGTCTGCTCTCCCACGTCTCCTCCACATGGGCCTCGGCGGCGGTCGAGTCAGGCGTGAAGACAAACACGCGATGCTCACCTGTCCGGGCGTCAGCATCGCCCAAGCTAACTGTGGCGGTTATGCACCTACAATTTTTGTATGCAGTGCCCAGCATGGGATCTTCAACGTCCCAGTCCTCGGTCAGAAAGTGAGCAAACGCCCCGTGCGTCACCACCAGCACCTGTTATCAGTCAGTCAGTCAGTCAGTCAGCCACCTGGCAAACTCTGCCCCTGTCCTGCTTGCCTGGGCTTCTGGGCGCTGGAACAGCCAACTCCTCAGGTCTGCAGCGCGCTTGCTGATGGCCGTCTTCTCGTACGCCCAGTAGCCATCCTGCACGTGACCCGTTAGCGCATACCGTGACGTCAGACCAGTGACATGTGCCGACCTTGGAATTCCAGCCCGGCGTCACTGCTGAAGCATCAATCTTGCTGAGATCAAAATCAATCTCCCCGGCCTCAAACAAATCAGGCAGTAGTTGCTGCAAATCAGCCGCACTATCCGCCAGCCCTACGTCGCATCCAATGTTGCTGACCTCCTGCAGCGCCGGTAGCATCACAAACGGCACTTCTGGTCGCGACAGCACCCGTCTGAAACTGAGCGCTGCCGTCTGGATCGTCCGCCGCAGTGGAGACGCAAACACCGTCTCTATTTCATCGTGGTGTTGAAACGCCGCGCTGAGGGCCCGACATTGCTCCTTGCCTTTGGCTGTTAGTACTGCATCGCGAATGCTGTAGTCGCGCTGTTGTCTGTTAGACTCGTCCAACATGGTCGCACCACCAAACATACAGTCGCATTGTGCTCTCCTTGTGCGTGGCGAACGAGATGAATCTTGGGAGCCATGGTGATGTCAAGTTCAGAGTTGCTGATTCTGCACTGTAGACTTGAACTGGGTGGGGCCGCCGCCGATTGAGTCACCGGGTCCTATCGCTCAAAGGCCGATCCGATACGACACAGTCGGCTAAGAATATTGTCTATCTTTGAAATCCCACACAATCTCTGCATCCTCTTTTGACGTCTGCCAATGCCTTTATACCTCGATGACTGTTGTGCTCATTGTACTACTCTCGACCGTTTTTTGTTTTCGCAGGGAAGGTTTGCCGAGTGCCTCTGCGCTAGTCCGTTCTTGGTCAAGCAGAGCTCTGTTACGGAAGGAGTATTGATGGAGTCGAATTAACATTCCAAGTAGTCAACCCTCCAGACGCCATCAATCTTGTTGTTAATTCAAGTTCATGGTCACAGAAAGTGTATCGGATTCGTTCATCTAGCTCTTCATAATGCTCCAGCATAACTGTGCTGGCATTCTGTCACGGGACGTAGTGGAAAAACCTTGATAAGCCGCCTGCGAAAGGACACGATTTATGCAACGTGAATTTATCGAGGTTTAGTAATAACTAAGTTTATTATTAGAGGAATTGGCCAGAAAAGAAAAAAGATTTCAAAAGAGTTGTCCGAATGGAGATTGTAGCGCCGCTTGAGAAACGAACCAATTATCCAGCATTGTAAGAGAATGGTGGATATTCACATATCCTTCAGCCAAGATTCAGTTCAATCTCAAGACGGCTACCCGGAAAGATTTCTCCCGAAACATCAAAACACAAAGTCGAGGCAGTTTCTTGGTTATGAGAATGCACCGTTTTGGCCAAGCTGCCACATCGGATCCGCAGAGACCCCGCAGCACTAGCGTAACAGGCTTATCCATAACACCAAAATGTCATCGTCATCCAGAGTACCACTAAAGTTTTCCTAAATCCTTCAATCTTGCTAGCAATCACCATGGCGAATCAAGAGCCAACTGTGCTTATCATTGGTGCTGGCACTTTTGGTACATCGACTGCGTACCATCTCAGCAAACAATACAAGGATCCTTCACGTATAACTATTATCGACCGCTGGGACACTGCCTCGCCTCTGGAAGAAAAACAGGCAGCTGCCATTGATACAAATCGTATCATTCGCACAGACTACGACTCGCATTTGTATTGCAATCTCGCCAATGAAGCGATCCATTTTTGGTTCTGGAGCATTGCGGTCCAAGGCCATTTCCACAAGACGGGATGGGTTGTACTGGATAGTAAAGAGGGGGGTTTTGGCGATGCGGTGAGGAAGACATTTCTGGAAAGAGGAGGCGACTACACGCGTGATGTTGATCCGGGTGAATTGGAAAAATACGACATAACCAAGGGAGTCCAAACCAAGCGCCTGGGCAAAGGCTACTTCAACCCCGAGGCAGGGTGGTGCGATGCCGAAAGGGCTACCCAGAGTTTTACCAAAGTTGCGCTGGAACTCGGCGTCAAGCGCATAACAGGCGAAGTCCAGGAACTCGTCCTCAATCGCGACAAATCCGGTCTTGCCGGCGCCAAGCTACGAGACGGACGCATTCTAACCGCCGACAAGATAGTCCTCGCAGCCGGAGCCTGGACCAGCACCCTCATGTCTCCTCTCGAAGACGCGCTTAAAATATCGCACCAAGACCGCATCGAGCGCCAGGTCACAGCCGTCGGCCGCGTCTCAGCATACTACACGCTCGACGACTCCGACACGCAATCCCTCGTCTCGCAAGACCAACCCGTCATTGTCATTGGCGGCGAAATCGACATCATCCCACCTTCAACTCCCAATCGTACACTCAAAATCAATGATTTGACGTCTGAAGTCGTAAACACGGTGACTACACCCTCGGGCCACCGCATCACTGCTCCCTCGCGCAGACACCAAGCCGATGTTCCTGAGAAACTAAAGCAGCAAAGTACTCGTCTAATCCACGCCTCTATGCCGCAGTGGACGAAAAACCGCGTCCCGAGTCGGTGGCGCATCTGTTATGATGCTGTGACGCCCAGTGAAGATTGGCTGCTGAGCCGCCATCCACACGCGCAATTGAGCAATTTGTACATTGCTGTGGGAGGAAGTTTTCATTCGTACAAGTACGTTGGTTGCCTCGTGAATCCCTTTTGAATCTCCTTCTCCTCGGGCAGAGATGCTGACGCATGATAGATTCCTCCCCGTTGCAGGCGCATACATGCTCAACGTCCTGTTCGACAAGTCCAACGGCGAGGAAAAGGACGCTGCCTGGGCGTGGAAGAGCCCAGAGTGGTTAGCTAAATGCAACGGTGAGGGCAAGGAATTTGGGAGACAGAGGGCCAAGGGGAGACAGAGGAGAGAATTGAGCGAATTCGAGGACGGGGCTGTGTCAAAGTTGTAATGGTGTGTGTGTGTGCGTGTGGGGCTATATGTAAATAAGATTACTATCATCGTATTTCCACTTGATCAAAACAACAGAACCTAGCTCTGTTATACTTTACTTATCTCTTTCCCTAACTATAATATACAAGTTAATCCCCCCCCCCTTTCCTTCCCCACTAATTCTTTACTTACTCCTTAACCCTAACAACTACCTTTCCAAAATGCCCCCCACTAAACAAATACCGCAGCGCCTGATCCGCCTCGTCGAACCCCCACACGCGATCAACAACCGGCCGTATCTCCTTGTCCTCGTAAAACTTGAGCATACGCTCTAGCTCATCCCGCGGCCCATTCAGGATACCCTTTAGCGTAACATTGCGCTTGAGACAAAGCAGATTCGTATTCGTGCGATCGGAAGCATCGTCCTGCTTGCCGGATAGATACCCAATGCACGCGATTAACCCGCCGAAGCGCACGCAGTCGAATGACTTGCGCAGCGTCTGTGCGCCGCCGACTTCGATGATGATATCTGCGCCTTCACCCTCTGTAGCAGATAGCACAGCCTTGTCCCAGTCAGGTTGTGCACGATAATTAACGGTAGTCTTGGCGCCGAGCTGTTTTGCGCGCTGGAGCTTCTCGTCGGACGACGAGGTTACGATTACGGTGGCACCCGCGGCGGTTGCGATTTGGCAGGCGGAAATACTGACGCCGCCGGTGCCCTGACACACGACTGTTTCGTCTTTGCTAATAATCTCGCCGCGGGGACGCATGCAGTTGAGGCTCATCCATGCGGTCATTGCGGCAATGGGGAGACATGCTGCTTCATCTGCGGAGAGGTAGTCTGGGATTTTGACGACGCCGTAGGTGGGGAAGACGCGGTATTGGGTTAAGACTCCTGGTGCGGGACCGCCCAGGCCGTTTGCGACGTCTGAGGCTTTGACTTGGCCGGATAGATGGGTTGGGGCGAAGGTGCTGATGACGCGGTCGCCTTTTTTGAGTTGAAAGGCTGGGTTCTTGAAGGGGTCGTTGGTGTTTGATGAGGTTGGGCCGACCGCAACGACAACGCCACACATGTCGCTGCATGGGACGATTGCGGGGGGATGCTCGACAGAGGAGTGGTGGTTGTAGAGGCCCATTGCGACTGTTGCACTTGATCAGCGTCATTGTCGTGAGGTTGCGATATATCAACACATACCCTCGGTGTCTCTGTAGTTCAAGCTGACAGAATGAATTTCCACCAGCACTTCATCCTCGCCTGGTGTAGGGCAGTCTGCCTCTGCCATTCTCAACTTATCGAGACCGTCCTGGCCTGTAAGCCATTGCTTGATCTTTTGCGGAGGCATCATCTTGGCTGGTAGTAGACACTGCGTCGAACGCCTTTGGAGTGCCAATGTTAAGATTTATGGTAGATGAGGAATTTGTCTGCTTTAAACTCTTGCTCTTCTGGTGTGAAAACAGGCCAGAAATTTCGCTCAGCCAGTCTCGGCGATCTTGGGAGAAGGGTGGGGTTGGCATCACGGGCAGATCCTTCTACTTTATAACGAAGACTCTCGATGGCGGGCTAGTATCAAGGGAATGCAGACAGTGGAGCTTGAGCAACGGGCAGAAAGTCGCCGAAGATGTGTGGGGAGCAGCATTATTTCTATTTGTCGTGGCCATGACGGCAAGGTGCTCAGCACAGCCATCGAGGTGTTCAGGTGCAACGTCACTGGCCGTAATCGCCCGGCAGCCGAGGTGGCAGGGCGCGGTCGGAATGCGCAAGCCGATGCGGCCCCTCAACACCATGGACGCTTATCGCAGACTATCGTGATATGTGCAAAGGCCTCAGCATCGATCATACGCGTACCTGGATCTTTGAAACGCCTGGTCTAATGACAATGACTGGAGACGGGGAGCGGCGCGCATGCCCCTGACGCAGGTCCATCTGCCAGCGCGCTGCAGGGCCTGAAGCTGGCGCAATCTGGTTCCAACAGGATAATGACGATACCTGTGACGAGTACATCCAGAGACAAGGCGCTATCGAACGGCCCAGATTTGTTGTTTTGTTGAAACCACGGGAGCTCGTGCTGGACAGGCATGATGGTTATTGTGGCACGCGCCATTGGGCGTGGAAAGAAGCAACATCACATGACGACACTGGATACTTCATTAGTGCTTGGATATAATCTCTCACCAGCCCGGATATAAACTCGCACGATCCCCAGATATCATCTCTCCAGATACAACTCCCCACAATCCATCCACTGCAGATACAACCACGCCCAGAGGCATCACCATGGACTTTCAGCACCCCTACTATGCCGGCCAGGAAGCCTTCCCGCCGCCACTCCCAAATCACCTTAGCTCAGACTACTCGCCAGCGCTTTCCATCATGCAACAGTTCCATGCAGACCTGCTCCGCATGGATGAAGAGCATCTCCAGCACCGCGATCAAACTGCCTCTACTTCTGAAGTCACCTCCCCATTCTCTGACGACGAGCCACTACCCGACACCATCCTGAGCAGGGTACGAACCTGGTATCGCAGGCTCTCACGTCGACGGTCTAGCGATGTCTCAACCCCTTGAAGAGGAAACATGATATCGTCATGCAGGTACCAGTTTGCATGCGATCGCACTAGTCGCGATCTCGTTCCAGCTTTCCGGGCCGCCCGTCGCCGCTATTCGATACAACCCACGGCCATCCCGTCATCGATCGCGGGCGATCTAGCGTTGACGATTTGACATTTATGCGACGTCACACCACCGGCCCGGTAGAATATCATTCTACCGGGGTATAACTGGAATGCTCATACATGTTTGACACGGGGATGGGTGCCGTTTAAAGTGACGTCGCCGCTGGCAGCAACGTCCAAGTATCAGCAGGCCCTTGTGCAACCCAGTTATTTCCGTATGACGGCCCCAGCAGTCGACCGAGGAAGTCCCGCGGACCGCTCCATGGATACTATCGTCATCCGCTCATGGGTCTCGTAAGGTTCCGTCCGATGCGCTGCAGCGGAATGGCTCTGTCCGCTCCGAAGTGACTGTGGTTCGAGAGATGAGATGTGTGTCTGGATGAATGTAGTGATGGCTGTGTCAGGTCAGTCAGGTAGATTCGGAATGATGAGTATTGAGGAACTGCAATTAATAATACCGCTTTTAAATATGTGCTTGATTTACAATCATATATTGGATGTGTTAGTAATGGGTTGATGCTGTTGGTCGCGAGCGACTGTGGGGAGTTGCGGGGAGAGCTCGTGCCATACCAAGGTCTACGGCCGATAAGTTTCGCCAAGCAATGATAAGCGTCAATCCATGTGCCAATCAATCGTCTTGGTGATCTGTCACCCCAACTTACCATTGCTGCTAGAGACGATTATCTAAGAGTCGATTACAGAGCACAATTTACATAGGAGCATTAGACTGTGGCTAAGCTCCATCCCGCATCCAAAGCTCTGCAAAACGCCTTGTGAGGCAAACCAAACCCAGGATTGAGCCAATAGCCGCCGGGGCTTCTCAAGAATCAGGCAAACGGGCTCCGTGCCCTCTTTCTCAACAAGTTTTTTTTAGCGGTGCTCTGACCATGCTGGCCGCCCACCAGACCTGTGTCCAGGTCGTTGGAATGCGGGCCACAGAACAACAGATGTCAAGAAGTGATGCAGCATTCGCCAGAGCGGGCGCTCGCTGGGGCGCAGCACTACTACTACATCAGAATACGACGGTGGCAAGGCACGTTGCACACTTGACATCTGCATGCTTGCCAAGGCAGGACCTCGCAAGGCCAAAAGGTGATGACCGATCAGTGGAATTTAGCGACCCCGCAACCTTGTCATCATCCTTTGCTCGCAGAATTTTCCGGGGATCCCACAACGCTGTGTCTGTCAAGTAGGCCCGTTTTTCTTCTCTTATAGCACGTCGCAGGGGCCCGGACGCGCTGGAAGTGTGTAGGGTCAAATGGCACAGGAAAAAAATCAATGGTGCGCACTGACCGGGAAAGCATCAATGGACTATCATCCGCTGCGTAAGATGCCACCATTACTTCATCGCTCAGACCTCTATCGTACGTTGTTCTCAGTGGTCCCCTTCCCCGCAGAATGACACTCGCGCTACTGGCGATAAGGGACTGTCTCGCATACTTACTAGACAACGTGGCCAGCCAAATTTTTGTGCCATGGCAGACCGCGTAAGCTCAAGGGGCCAAAAGAGATGCACCTTTGACTGGCTGGACCTGAATACTGTGCCTGGCAGAAAGACCCAAGCGCGCGAACATGTTGCTTGCGTGAACCTTTGACGTATGCACATGGGATGGACATCTGCAGACCAAACTGATTACGCTCTAGGCTCTCGCCGTCTCTACACACTGGCACAATCTCATGTTTCTTGCACTTCGCCTGCAGCTATGCCGGTGAAAGTTTTGAAACACTATTCGACGTATCCCAAGACGGAGCTAACTTGGCCGCCATCCCCATCCTGGTCCGGTTAAAGTGTTCTCTACTGGCAGTCACTCATTTACTTTTACTTCTGTGAGCGGCCGCAAATGTTATCGCCTCTAGCCAAGAGGCGCTAAAACAATAGGCCGGGTTTCATGGTAGGCTTATACGAATGACGAGAAATGTCGCCTGCGATTTGAGGCTCTGCTCTACGATGGCCTCGAAAGCGGCCGCCGGGGTTTGGCAGATATAAACCTTGCGTGTACGCATTTGCGCATCTTGCTACTTGCCTCTACTGAAGTATTGCGCAAGTCAGCAAGTGTCCTCGCCAACAAATTATTCTTATATCACATTGCAGCGATTGTCCTATGACATCCATCACTCTCCTTTGCTCCTCACATTACTACTGCCACTACAGCGCCGTGTCTCCCTGCTTCCCACACAACGCCTGCCACAACAGCGCCGCCTCCGCCTACACCCGCTGCCACTGCAGTACCCTTCCCCTTACTTCCCACAATACAGCTGCCACTATACCGCTGCCTCCACTTGCCTTTTGCAGAACTGCTGCTGCTACAGTACCATCTCTCTCCGCTTCTCACTAAGTGGCCACTACTACAACGCCGCCCCCTCCTGCTTCCTACACAACCGCTACCTCTACAGCGCCGTCCTCTCCCCTGCACCCACAGCACCACAGCACCGGTGTCCACCGACCACTTCGATACTGCCCTATACCACCTCGCCCCCAGCACCAAATACAAAAGAGCAGCAATCTCCCCGTGTCGAGTCAACATCAACCAACATCTTCTTACCCTATCGCACTGGCACCAGACCAGATACCGACCAGTCCACTCTTCATCACCACGAAGAAACATGTCTTACAGCAGTGAGTCAGCTTGTCATGTCTGTTCCTTGCATGCGTAACCACAGCATGCTGTTGGCCCACGCCGCGCGTTCCAGAAACGAGGCACGCAATCCATGTTCCTGAGCCGTTCCGCTGATCCCCCACTTTTAGCCCACCGCTACCCCGTCAAGCGCCCGTCCCGCCGCACCCTCGCTTTCATCGGCATACCAGACCAAAGAGACGTGTTCGCTATATATATTCGCTGGGCGCGCCAGCGATACTACCGAGTGCACCACGTAATGCACCACGAGGCCCCGTCGTCAGCTGTGTGCACGCGTAGCCCTGACGATGCGCTTGACGTGCACCTCGGTGGAGACCCTGCGAACTCTCTGCCGAGCCTGCAGTTCGATGTGCAGAGGCTTAATACCGATCTGCTGGGAATGGGCTCGGGACTTGACGGCGTTGACGCGTCGGTGCTTGGGTACCCCAGTGAGATCGACTTCATTGGGTGAGGGGCAATACAAGGCAGGGCTGAAAGGGTAAACAGCCAGGCAAGGTTACCGACGGGCGCGGCTACTAGCCTACAGTTACCGCAGCTGGCTAAATGGGGCGTTTTAGGATATTGTTTTTTTAGAGAACCAGGGATCTTTGGAAGCGACTCGCGTCGGGCGTTCGCGGTTATCGCAACATCTAAGGGGCCATGGCCATATGTAACAGTACTTTTTGTAAAAAAAAAAGGTTAGAGGTGTACGAAATGATGGAAATGAAATCAAGACTTGTTATTGTCGATTGCTGCATCGCACTTTGTATTCCAATGATTGTGCAGCACAAGCCATATGCACAAACATGCATGGTCATGTGTAATAGTTATACCATGTGATTCCAAGACACAAAGATGAGCACAAAACATCACAGCCATTTTTACATATAACTATATATATATATAAAAGACATTTGTGCCATGTGTTTTCTAGACTTCCCACATATATCACTATATACCAACAAAAATCCTGAATAGCTTGCTTTCCATTCCATTTCATCACTATACTCCCGATACTGCCGCCCTATCATTGCAGAAGTATATATGTATATATCTTACCGGAGAAAAAAAAAGAGAATCTCATACATTGTCCTCGTCACTGTAGTTCTCATCAATGTCCATCTTGCGCATCGCGTGGAGCGAGGTGCGGCGTTGCGGGGCGGGAGGCTCAGTGGGCAGCAATGAGTCGTTTTGTGTGTGGACGTCTTGCGCGGAGGGAGAAGGGGGTGTACTGCCCTGTCTAGACGCGGGGTGAGTAGCTTGCGCGAGGGAGAGAGCAGTGTCTTTTTCGTGTGTTTGCGTCTTCGTCATGAGGAGTCGTTGGATTGGTGCTGTGACGGCGGTGGTGGTGGTAGTGGTTTTGGTGCCGTTTTCTGTATCATACTTAGTACGGAGCCATTCACGAGTAGGGAGATCGCGATATGTACCTAGACGTATTGGCTGTGAGGACATGTCGGTGCCGTATGCACCGGCTAACTCAAGCAACATTTCTTCATCGTCATCCAGCCTCTCCTGTCCTTCAAATGGATCAACCGTTCTGCCATTTCTGCTTGACGAAGTTGAATTCGCTTCCTCTTCGTCGTCTTCTTCTTCTTCTTCTTCTTCTTCTTCTCCTCGCCCGATTGCAACATCATGCGCCATTTCCAGCGCCCGACTCGGCTTCCCAAATGCCCGCTCAGCCCGCCCACTCTCCTTCACTGCTTTCCCCTCCACGGATGGATCGCTGCGCCACCGTATCGCTTCAGGTACCTTACCCGCATCATAGAGCGACTTGTTCGTCATGTATTCGTATCGGACGCTCTCGACTGTTCGCCCGGAAGACAGGTTCGCGAAGCCGAATCCCGTAGCTTCGGTGAAGTCTTGCCCCATGAAGCGCGCGTTGTGGCGCTCCGTCAGCTCCCAGATAGAGGCGTCGGGCATGTTTTGCAATAGTGAGGCTAGGTACTCGCGCTCGATGCGTTGCCAGGGATGATCCATTGTCGTGCGGTCGATGGCTTGGTAGCGGCGGTCGTTTAGGGCCTTGATAGTTTGCATGTTGTTCCAGTCCTTGGGTGTTTTTCCGTAGCAGTATATCGTTGGCTTTCGTTTTGGCATTGGGTCCTTTTTGCTCTTGGGACGCATGTCGATCAGTTTTACAATGTGTAGGGCTTCTTGGTCCAGGGTTTCGTCCAGGGAGTCGATGTCGGATGGGGGGATGGGACCAAAGTATTTGACGTAGCGAGAGCCGCGCTTGTAGCGGTAGCCCCGGTCTTCCCATAGGGGTGGATTGGTTTGGCCATTGCTTTCTCGGGCTGAAGGCTGGATGGGGTCGGGGCGTGGATCGCCAGGCAGGGGCTTGATGCCCCAGAAGGGGTTGGCTGGAGGGATTACAGTATTGTGGGTGAAAATTGCGAAGCCATCGCCAACTGGGGGTTTCTTTGTCCTTTTTGACTTGCTGTTGGAAGTCTTGCATTCCGTGTTAGTCTTGTTCTTTGCAGATGTACCTTCAACGTCTTCATCATCTGCAATATCCTGCATGTCATTGGGCAGAGCTGAGCCATTATCCTTAAAGTCGACCATGTCTTCTTGCCCTACTGAAACAGCTATTTGAGAATCATCCGCCACGAAATTTTGGGATGTTAGCGTGGCAGAATCGTTTACATTCCCAATGTTTTGCTTCTTGGAAGGGCTTCCGTCCGAAAGCTGAGGTTCAGCAGCTCGTTTATGCATTTTCTTGACAATAAGTGAAGGCTTGTATTAGCGTCCGGCGTGGTGTTTGGCCTTTTTGTGTCGTATTTCGGAGTCTCTATCTCTCAATGGGAAGCGCCGTAGTTTATCACGTTCAGTGTTGCGTTTTGTTAGGCTATCCCAACTGCTTGTAAGAATATTATGGGAGATAGAGCAATAAGTATATTGGGGTTTCCATAATGACCGAGAATAAAACTCGGTGATCAGCATGTTGACAGTGTCATCGAAAAGTTCACACAGGCCGCTGTGCGTTCGGCTTCCTTTGAACGTAAATCAAAGTGTTGTGTTCGACGACAAAGCAAAGGAAATATAAGAGCAATCATCACTTGGGGATGTCACAACGAAACAACGAATAAATGAACGATGTCATTTTCAGCCGCGCAACCCAAGTTATCTCTCACAAAGTTGCTGTATTGGAAACTCGAGATGCTGAGAATGATTTCGCCATCGTGAATGCCTTGGCCTAGTCCTGCCTGTGGAATCGATGCGAAGAATTGCTTTGAGGCACCAAATCGGCAAGCAACTACAGTGCTTCACGTCAAAGGTAACGAGTATGTTCATTGACGAAGTTAGTAGAGTAATAAATCGAATCAAATATCATGGCAGCAAATCTGCATTGTACCAAAATCGAAAAATATCCTTAACTCTTAAGCTATGTTTCCAGAAAAGGTTGCCCTGATCGTTTTCCGGCCTTTCTAATTGATTGAGGCATTTTCAAGTCCCCGTAATATCTCTCGAGGGATATATTAGCTAGTGAAGCGATACTGCCCCTCGATTTAAGGCATGGCGATCTGCAAGGGAAATAGGATCACACCTATACAAATTAGCAAAAGAATTGGCGGTGATGGAAGATCCCTCCCTCCGCACCCTCGCCTCCTCTACCGATGGGATTGTATAGCTAAGGCATTTGGAACAAAACGCAATCCTGATGCTGGATTGATGAGATAGGTTTGTTGCGTGGCTGTGAGAGCAGGGCCATCTCACCTCCCGCTGTCGGACTGGCGTTGCACGCATCCGACAGCGTTGAATCGGGACTCTGAGAGTCCGACGGTTTCGGATCAAAAACTGTTTGGGTAAGGTCTTCAGCCAAGTGGGGGGAGCGACACCAATCGGCAGCTGTCGCTCGCCCACCCCTGATCAGCGACGGTTGTCGATTGGTGTCGCCCCCCCCCCACTTGCTGAATCAGGTCAAGAGGATTCGGTTGGGATTTATCCGGTGGCCGTTGGCCAGGGGGGCGAGCGACAACTGTCGATTGGTGTCGCTCCCCCCACCGACCAGCGACGGTTGTCGATTGGTGTCGCTCCCCCCACTTGGCTCCGGTAGTTTCGGCTGGGAGCCATCGGACCGTGGCTGGCGAGCCACATTACATATATCAACGGAAGTCCACTAGCACCATACATGGTATTGTCGGGCGCATGCAATCGGATCAGAGCGTTAGTCCCGTGCGCCCCCAGAGGACCAGATTACAATTGAAGCAAATTGAATGTAAAAAGGGGGTTTCAACTCATCGGAATTCTGTCGGATGGCATTGCTGGGTGAGGCAGCTGCTTGCTCGTCCCTTCCCTGATCCGCCCATCTGACTGTGGCCGTCGCTCGCCAGCCATAGTACTTAGCCATTTTGAGAATGTGGGGCGAGCGACACCAATCGACAGCCGTCGCTGGCTGGTGGGGTGAGCGACACCAATCGACAGCTGTCGCTGGTCAGGGGGGAGGCGAGCGACGGCCGTCGATTGGCCTGCTCGTCTGGTCATGGGTGGAGGGAGCGACACCAATCGACAACTGTCGCTGGCCCCCCCCCCTGGCGAGTGACACCAATCGACAGCCGTCGCTGGCTGGTGGGGTGAGCGACACCAATCGACAGCTGTCGCTCGCCCCCCTGGTCCGCAAGCTTTCCTGGTTTTGGATAGCGCGGATTACACCAGCCGGCATGCTTATACGATTATATGTGGCGGGCGACCCTCACATACTCCTACGTTGAGTATTGCTACCAGCCAACATTATCGGAAGGGCAGCTAGAGCAGACGACAATCAGCTGCTCACTAGCCACAGTGAGATCACTCGTTACAGCCTTGTCCAACGACACCGAATGGCATCCGTTGGTATCGCTGGTGAACGACATATATAGTCGTGGACTGGCATAACATGCCTCATAGTCTCTCGGTCTCTCGGTGGACTGAACTGTGCCGGATCAAAACAACGCATTAGCTACAAAGGAAAGGAAAAGTTACGATGAAAAGATACTTCACTCGCCCTCGCTACGACCCGAAGAGCTTCCGGTTTGCATTTGCTGTCAATGGTGTTACCACCTTGGGCGTACCTGTAGTCAAAATGGGTAGCCTATCCGATATTGTCTTGCGCTCATATCTCCAGTTTGACATCGACTTGAATAAACCAGCTGGGATACTTGGACAGTGTGTTGGTGGTGCTTCACGAGCGTTAACGATGCGTTCGATAACTTCAAGCGTCGGCCAGATAGGTGCATGTGTGTTACCAGTACTGCTTCATCCTTTGTCGCCAACACACTGCCACTTAATGTGGACAAAAAACCCACCAAAGCGTAAACAGTTGTATGTCTTTGGACATCGGAGTTGTGGGCTACTGATAGCCACGAGGCGTCGTCGTTATCTGCGAAGTGTCGCAGTGACTCCGTGATGAACTCGCGCCAGTTCTCTGGTAGTGGGGGTATACCGTCTGTTCCAACGACATACGGCAATCTCTTTCGGGGAGGCTCCAAGATACCACGGTCCATGTTTCGGATGTGCTTCTGATTGATGGACACTGTTTTGTTCCGTTCTCTCTCTAGGCGCCTAACGATACTGTTGTATCTCTCTAGGAGAGAGGTGCGCGCTTTTTCTACCAGTCAGCATTTCTTCCTCGAAGCCTGATCTAGACACGTTACCTGTTGGTTCCTGTGACGCCTGACTTGCACCGGAGTTTGTGTTCGTCGACATGTTAGGCATAGTTCTTGGTTGTTGCAGTAAACAAAAATCTCTTCTTGTTGTGTTACAACAACTCGTGCAGTGTAGTGGGGAAAGATTCAAAAACTAAGAACGAGTTGATACTATGAAGATACTCAATAAACAGTTCTACAGTCTCACTAAGAGAAGGCGCGCAGTGAGGTGAGGTGACCGATGGTTTTTCTCTAGACTCACTAGGCAAAGCGCGTAACATGAGCCAGGTGAGGGAGCGGCTCTTCCAGCCTCGCTAAGATGGGGTAGATGACGTAAACTAGGTGAAGGTAGATTTTAACACACACAGTCACCTCCGATTCTGTAGGTATGTATATAACTAGCGAACACCCACTGCTTTACATTCAACCTTATTCTCCACTTCTCCTACAAATACTTGATCAACGCCAGCATGGCCAACGAAAACTCTCTAGGCGACGTGAGAAACATGCTCACAAGGACCATGGATCGACTTGAAAAGCTGGTCCAGGAGCTTGACGATAACGCTGCCACTCACAGAACCACTCCCGCTTCCCAAGCCATTGCCGCTCTCAAGGAAGTTGCTTCTACCAAATCAAGTGCTACTCTCGAAGCCATTACCGCTCTTCTCAAAGCTGTTGCCGCTTCCGAATCAAGTGCTACTTTCGAAGCCATTGCCGCTCTTATCAAAGCCATGTCCGTTCCCGAATCAACTCCAATTGTCGGAACCACTCCCAGTATTGCCCCTACTGCCAGAGCTACTATCACTGTCGGAACCACTCCCAGTATCGCCCCTACTGCTCAACCTATTACTACTGTCGGAACCACTCCCAATATCGCCCCTACTGCCAGAGCTACTACCACTGTCGGAACCACTCCCACTACCAATCACGGTAATAAACTTCTTAATTTCGAATACTTCAGACAGGCAGATAAGGCAAGGAAACGTCAGGTGGAAGACCAGTTATCCCCTGGTACGAGCAAGAAAGGACGTGGCAGCAAGTGAGGTGCTGAGGAAGGGTACATGGAGTAGAGAATCAGTTCAAGTGAGAAGTAAGGCATTGGAGCTAGCAACAATGAATGCATTAGTTTGCTAACTTTTCGTGATTGATACCGTGAGACATCATTACACGTATTTGCATCTCACTTATTGTGGCGATCGAACTATTGGTACAACGACATAAGCTATCTCTCACGAAGACTGGTTTCCTATACACTCCTCCAAGGCTCGGCGGTCGTACTCTGCACGCATCTGCATGACTTCTGCTATCTTCTCAGTTGCTTCCGCTCTGATAATTGCGACCTTCACCTCCTTCTCTGATGCCTCTGCGAGCTTGGCCGCAGCATCCGCCATGAGTTCCGACATCCTAGCTTTGGCCTGGAGCTGGCGTGTTTTGTGCGGAAGCTCGTCTTCTTGGGAGCTGGCGACGCGCTTCTGGGAGGTGGTTCCTGCTATATCGTCAGATCGATGCTGCGAAAGGTCTGGAACTGCCTTACCTGGATGTAGCTGAGATGGAATGTCAACGAGCTCTTGCCAAGGGCTCAGTCCGTGAGGTGATTCCGAAGTCAAACTTTCGCTCGGGTTATGATGACTTTGACCGGCAAATCGGGCATGCTCTGCCTGTTGACCTGGACAAGGTGTTCCACTGATTACTTTACGCGAAGGCATGTTCCTTTCTGCTTGTGACGGACAAGGTGTTGTTCCTAGGGTGTGGAGATGCACAGGAAGGAGCGATCATGCATAGGCGATATCTGTAGGCATGCTTGACTAAGCACCTCGCCTTGAAAGCTATCTAGCAGACTCTATGAAAGCTTTGTAGTAGGTTACAAAATCGATTTATTACCGAAAAGCACGGCAGTGGCATGTTCTGAAAGCTAGGCTACAAATAATTCTTTATGGATACAGCTACAGGTGCAGCGACTAACGGCTCGACAATCAAGTAATATAGAGAAAGTATTAATTCCTTTTTCAGAAAATCTTTAAACTAATATCTTATATCGTTCCCATCAAGGCTACACTGTGTACCATACCTCAACCATGACAACTTTCGTTATTCTGCTTCCTGGGAAGCTGTTTCCTCCTCCTCATCCCCAGCCAATACCGTCATCACGTCCCGTAACCGAATGAGAAACAGATTTACGGACTCTGAATTCTCGGTTGCTGTATCGATGAACTTTTCGAACATGTTCTTGAGGCCGTGGCGACTCTCTTCCAACTCCTCAATTTGCCCTTTATGTTTCCATACCGTGTCGAGAGCTGTACGAAGGCACTCATACAAGCGCGCAACGTCTGAGTTCCGAGCTTCGAGTAACTCGCGAGTTTCCTTCCAATACCCAACGAGCCTGTTTAGGAGATTGATATAGCAAGCATTCGCTGCATTCAATGCTTCGCGGCTGACATAATTTTCTCCAAGGTCGGGTGGTACGATACTCAAACGTTCATAGAGTGCCCGAACTAAATCTTCCCGGGCGCATACGATGGTTCCCAAGCCTCTGCGCTTTATGGATAATTCGGCTTCCAAATCTGTGAAGCGCTGCTGTAGCTCGCTATTTTCGTGTTCCAGCGTGTGAATGACTTGTGCATTGGCAATGCCCCCTCGCGCAAACTCCCGCATCCAGTGTTCAAGATTGTGGATGCGTCTAGAATTTTGTACATTTTTTCTGCATGTTAGTCGCAGATACAACATGAGGTCCTTTTCCTTCTTCGCCCAGGCCTGTTCCTTGGACTCCCAGACTCCAATCATTTGCTTAAGCTCAGAAATTTCATCTGCAGAGAGCTTCAATCTTTCTTCGAACTTGAACGCCATATCCTCTTGTGATTGTCTGGATTTCTGGTGGACTTGTTCGATGGCATGCTGCGCTTGAGCCTTGGCCTGAAATAGTTCGTCTTGCTTGGCCCGTAGTTCATTATCTGCCTTCTTGAGTCCTTGGTCGAGATCCCTGAGTTTTGAGTTGAGTTCGTCTTCTCGAGCAGCATATTCGTGGCAGGTCTCTTCGAGATTCTCAGCCCGGGATTCCAGTTCCTGTAACTGACCAGTAAGTGCAACGATGTCGTCGGAGCTGTCGGCAACAGATCGTTCGAGTTGGAGTTTCTCATCTGTCAATTGAGTGCGTTCAGAGATGGCTGATTCGGACATTTTGAAAATTTTGGTTTGGTGCTTTTGTATAGTGTCCTTGAGTTGGCTTTGCAGATCTTGAATGCACTTCTCGAGATTACTGTTCGCCGCACGGAAACGAGTCTCTAACAGGTTTGCCTCTTCTTTGAACTGCGCGTCTTTTTGCTTGAGCTGGAATGCATATTCTTTCTCATCCGCAATTCTTAATTGCTTCAATTGCTCAAGTTCACTGTTCGCCGCATGTAAACGATTCTCCAATAGGTCTGCCTTATCTTTAAACTGCGCGTCTTTTTGTTCGAGCTGAAGTGTATGTTGTTTCCCATCCGCAACTTTTGATTCCTTCAATTGCTCGAGCTTGTTGGTGAGGCCTCGGATGCGTTCCCCGGCAGCTTGAGTCTGCTTCGCGTCTCTTGCTTTAGCCTCTAAAAGCTCCTTCTCTGTAATCGCTAGTTTGTCTTGGAGAGTGATGACTTCGTCCCTGAATGTAACCACCCTAGCGGCATGTGTTTCCTTGGCAGTGTTCAACGACTGCTTGACTTCATTAGCACGTTCAAGCGCACGCCGAGCTGCTGTTTTTGCTGCATCTAGTTCGCTGTTCGCAGACTTATTGTGCCGCTGTGCATCCTCGAGAGCGTCTTGAAGTCCTCGGATTTCCTCTGCTAGCTGTTCGTTATGGTTTGTAGCGGTACCAATGTCTCGTTGCTGGTTCGCGATTGTTTCCTTATGTAGCTCGTTTTTCCATGCCAGTTCTCCAGAATCTTGTATTGCAGCCTGAGCCATTTGGTGTTGCTGTTGAAGGGCGGTGGAAAGTTCGTCGATGCGCTCGGTCAGTTCCGTTCTTGACATATCAGCGTGGTTTTGGATGTTTTCAGCCTTCCTCGCTTGCTCTTCGGCTTTTGTCTTTTCAGTTTCGGCTAGAGTCCTTGCTTCTCTGACTTGTTCTTTGAGTCTAGATATACTTTCGTCAGCCCGAACGAGCTTCTCCCGCAATTCCTTTTCTACTCCACGCATTCGTTCAATCTGTGAGTCGAGAGAAGACTTGTGCTTCTTCGCTTCGGAAAGCTCAGTCCGCGTCCGTATAGCTTCCTCGTTGAGAGAAGATATGTGTTCCTTCGCTTCGGAAAGCTTAGTCTGCATCCGCCTAGCCTCCTCGTTCAGGGAAAATATCTCCTTGTTCGCTTGCCGTTGCTGGTCTTCGGCTGCCTTCTTGTCTTTGTGAGCTTCGCTTTCCAAAGTTGTAAGTCGCTGTTCGGAGCTTTGCAGAGAGGCCTGTTGCCTGGAGATCACTGTTTGAAGCTTTTGCTTGGTCGATGTACTCTCTTTTAATCCATCTAAGTTGGTTAGTCGTGTATTGCATATGTAAAGAGCCATAGAACTCACTTTGCATACGGATAAGAGTGCCGACAAGCGCTCTTTTCTTTGCTAAAAGGCGCAATTCATTCTGGTCCTTCTCTTGCCTGGCTGAGGCAGAGCTAATCTGCTCATTTGCAATGCGGATCTTCTCCTCCATCATCTTTATTTCGCGTTCTTCTCTGTCGATTATTTCAACATCTTCTACTTGACCTCCTAGTACTGCAGCGGCGTAAAGCAGATTACTTCGTCCTGTCGCATCACCAGTCACCTCTTCGAATGTATATGGGTATAATTGGAGAGCCATGTTGCACTAGATTGGCGGTGTCTCTTCGCGAACAATCAGGAATGATGCGTAAGCAAGTAAAAGAAATTTTATATAAAGTTTGCCAGTGCAGTGAAAAGGCTATTGTAGCTCATTAGTCACATGGACCGGCCTTGGCGGCAAGGCATACAGCTCGTTCCTGCCTAGATTTGGGGAAGGAACCTAGCTTCTACACAACACTTACCCCACAACTAAACTATGGCTAGCAACTCTAGGGTATACGGCAAGAAGGGCCGTGGCCAGCGAACGAGCTCAATTCAGTAAGTAAACTAACCGCTAAAACGGAGCTTGCTGACATTGTTGATAGTCCATTGGTAAATGTCCAGGCTGCGAACGACGAAGACATGACGGATTGTGACTCTGAAAACACATTCAGACCAGAAGCGAGTTCTCCAATCGATGAAGAATTTGACTCCATAGCATTGGGGCGAACCGAATTGTTACATCTAGGAAACACGAGCACTGTCTACCTGAAATCAGTGGCTCTCCCCATTGATCCAGACTTCCAGATGCAGGCCAAAGCTCAAGCAAGAAGGTCTAGGTACGATTATGGTGCCAAACTTGAATTGAAATATTCCTGTGTTGCTGCAGCCGCGTTCCAAGAGGAGGAGTTTGACAAACATTCAGTAGTGGACATTGGAGAAGGGCTTTACAGATTGTCCGCTGTACATGCAAGTTGATTCCAATTCAAGACTGAGAAAGCCTGCTAATCCAAAAATAGATTATGGCATCCATCCCTCTCGAGGTCCTCCGCTTGATCGTCAACGGCAATCTATGCAAGGCTATCCACGACGGAAATTCCAAGGTAGCAGAATACTATTCGGAAGATGCAGCGTGGCAGCAGAACGTGAACGGCAAGAATAGATCGGCAGCGATATACATCCGCCATCTTGTCGACAAGGAACACAATGCACCCACGCCACAGCAGTGCCGAAAGGTTAATCGACGCCTGCGATCGTATATTTCGGGCGACCGTCAATATTTCCATGATGCTGTTGCTTTGGACAATGCTAGGAACTACCGATCAAGCATCGAAGACATACAGAATGGTCGCCACCATCATCTACAAGGACTCATCAAGCGTGCACAGCAGATTATCACCTTCTGCGCCGCGTTGGAAACGCGTCTCAGCGAACTAGGCCCAGATCTGGACAACGTTGCTCTCGAAAAGCCACTGAAATATGTTGGTTACAGCATCAACGTTACAGCGCGAGGAGCTCAGCATGACAAAGGAGACACTAGCTGGTTCCAACAGATGGCGCTCGATGCTTTTCGCCTTGAAGCGCCCAACGCGGGATTCAGGTTTGAAGGACACACAGTCTGCTTCATGGCCCATCCGCATGAAGTCTCAATTGCTGAGTCATTGATTGGCATCATCACGAACAGCATGATCGAGACAGGCGGTGGCTTTGGTGTCTTTCAAGGTGGAGTACAGACGACCAGCGCTCGATTGCCTGGTCTGGACGACACTGCACGTGCCGTTTTCTGGAAACAATGCAATCACTGGCGTATCGAGAACACCCCATACCACGACAATTTGAACTTTGACTACAAGCGACTAATGGCGCTTCAGAAGGATGAGGACTCCATGCTTCAATCATGCTCCCGATTAGAGGAACTAAAGAAGACTCACGATGAGCAGTGTAAGCAAATTGAAGCTGGCAAAGCTCGGGAGTTCAAGAACAAGGAGCAAGACAGAGCCTTGATTGCAGATACTCGGGAGGACCTCAATAAGCTTGAACAGGAGATGACCAGTGAGTTCAAGGAGGCAGGATTATTAGATGTTATACAGGATCTGCGTGAGGATATGGATGCTGCTGAGAAGCAGCTCGATGAAGCCCACGAAAGCGCCTAGGAAACATCATTCGAGGGAACAAAAGATACCGACATGGAAGCTCGGCTGCCTCATTTAAATGTGTTCAAAGATACTGTAGTGTACTACCAACAGCTGAAAAATCATACATCATGCCCCCCCTCTGCGATAGCGTTGCACGTGAAGCATCAGTCCAACTAATATCGTTCACACGCCAACTCTACTCCAGCGCTTTGTCTCAAATCTACCAAGAAGCTATATTTTTCGACCATGTTAAATCACGTTCCGCTCTAATTACGCAATACCAGGCAACTTTCACGAAACTGGAGCGTTTGCGCGAATAGCGACGCACGTGGCTGACGTGAAAGCGCTATCATCACCAACACAACATTTGCCTTCTCGTGCGTTTGCCTTGACGTCATGAGACATACCAAATTAGGAAATTTGACAAGAGTGGGAGTGAATGGCAGCCTACAGTAGGTCTCTCGTGACACACTCGCTTACGGACAGTGCGGCAGTGAAGCCTTGACCCTTGGCTATATAAACCAGCTCCCCACCCTCCTTCTGCTCCTCACGCTCAACATCTTTTCTTATCTCCGGCAACGACGAATATTCTTGTCTTCTATTCATATCTTCTATCCTTATCTCCTATTTTTATATTCCTCTTTCGGCATCGCGAGTGTATAGCTGCCATTGCTATATATTTTCCCCTCCCTCCGGCCTGTAGGCTGTGATATATTTCCATATATCTCGATATGTGATGTCCCGGCATCGCGAGTGTATCCGCCATGACCGGGGATGACATATACCCGGTTTATGGGTATATGGCAAAAATAGCAGAGATTCTGAATAAGCACGGCGAGTCGGAAGCGATACGCATTCTAGACGATGCGAACTTGGCCTACTGGCCACTGCGAACACGAGTCGAAAGCTCTGGTTGACCCGTCTCACGGTCCATTCACACTGGATATCCACTTCCAGACACACTATTCGAACTCGTGCCCTTGCAGGCAGAAAAATATTCCTCATGCTTTTCAGCTCAGCGACAGTGAACTGCGCAGTCAATGGAGAACCGCGTTCCGCACCTCCGATCTATACATGACTGGCACAAATAGAATTCCCGACACTCTGTTCGAACTCTTCCCCTTGTTCGCGCGCTTTGCAGGCAGAAACATCAACACTTTGATGATTTGGCAGGTTTGTGTCATATATATCGATAGCGCGTGGCACCGTGAGGGGATTTTTGATCATCTTTGCTATCTTCTACGGGATCTCGCTTTGGGATCGGAACACGAGATGCAAATAACGGCGCCGGCTGATGATAGCGTTGGCGACGATAACATAGTTGATGATGAGGAGGATTATGTGATGAGTGGGGATGAGGATAGCGTGCTCGGTGGGAAGGGAGGAAAGGCATGGGAGGAGATGATGACACGGATAGGTTGTTGTGGGTACATAGCGTCCTCTATTTGGACATGAGAGCCGCACCCCGGCTTGTGATCCTTCTGCATCTGGGGAGAATGTATTGTTACGCTCAAATTTTCTGCCAAACGCCATCACCTTCGGAAAGATTGATCTAGGATTTGGTATAAGCTCCGCCATCTGAATGTGAAGATCGGGACGAAGTTATCCAAGGGCATTTACATGTCGTGCAATTGCTATTAGAAGTATACTTATCGAGGGGGCTGATTCCAAGCACGCTGATGGACTGACTGTTGATGAGGTAGAGGTGTATGTCGGACCGTATTCCAACGGCGGTACCTCAGGAAGATCCATATCGCCAAAAACGCGCGGCTTCGCAGTTAGGAGCTGGTCTCAAATGAGGATACGCATTGTGATGGGTATATCATAGGGATCGTGCTACGTATAAAGGTGAGCGTCGAGTGTTCTTTGCAAGGATCCCATGCTGACTAGCCCCGTGGGGGGCTCTTGAGTAACGAGTAATGGTGGCACCGGGCACGACTGGATCCCAATAGGAGGTACCGCATTGCTTACAAATTTACATCTAGTGCTATCTGGCTTCCTGGTGGCATTGGCTGGTAGCTATCCGATGGATGGGGCGGATGAGTGGCGGCTATCGATGACGAGCAACAGTGATTAATTAGTATCGCCCGCTCTCCTCTCGGCCTACCTACAGCTGCGCCTTCTTATATGCAATGCAATATACGGGATCCCGCCCGGAATATATTAGTCGCAATCTGCTTGTATTTTGCTCTCAAATGCAGACAAGCCGGATACTCCTGGAGCCAATTCATGGTGGTAGAAGTATTGAATAGCTATCGAAGGATGTAGGGAAGACAGTTGTTGGTATAAAAAACTAGTAGACCCAGAATTATTACTCCACTTAGACACTCGACATGTTCCGTATGTAACAGCCCGTAGTATCTGGTTGTGGCGGACAATACTTATTGAGAGCCATTGCTCCACAGCCACAGCCACAGCCACAGGGGTTAGCCACTTCGAGTTATGTCCGCCATGACCTGCTTTCGCATAAGAGCGAGCGGGACCCGAAGTGAGAGGAACAGAAGAGTCGCTAAGAGCAGCTATATGTTGACATGTGGGAATCAATCATGGAATTCAACAGACCGTATTCCTTGCGAATTTACAGGAACGAGCGATTGAGGTGGTCCGGCAACCCGTGTGTTATTTGGTGAACGGTGATAAGCGCTCCCGACTTCACTCAGCCCCACTTTAATTTTGGTGCGATAGTCGCAACTTCATTATACTTCTTACAACCTCGCTTTTGTATCATCTACTCAGTTCGCACTACACACAATGGCGCCCAACGACAATGCGACTTGGAACTTCAAGCACCGTGACGGTGTGATTACAGAGGATAGTAAGTCGAACAAGGGCAGCACGGTTTCGCAATGCTAACCAGATACAGTGAAGGAGTGGTTGGAAGAAATGGTAGCTCAGAGAGTAGAAAATTGTAAATTCGCCGAGTTGTTTGAGACCAGGTTCCAACACGAGGTCGAAAAAGGACTTCTTGATGGTGAGTGCCACGGCAACTGAGGGAACTGCTGCTTACTCAAATAGTTCCCACGTCTTTACTTTGCATGATTGATGATCTGATTCAAGAGGAACATGTCATCAAGGAACCACCAAAGCCTAGAGCGCGGGCTTGGGCCCTGTCAGAGCGCTCTCCTCCAGGATCAGCAGAAGCACTTCTCTATGAGTTCAGCCCAGACGCCGACCACAGTGAGCTCGACCGTGACGAATTGTCGAGAACAGCCCCGGTATTGCTGTCATTGTTCGACCAGAATAACAGTTACTGGAAGTTGCTGTCTGAAGAGTATGTTAAGCTCTGGGAAGACTCACAGAAGATGGCTACCCACATCGAAGACTCGGATAGCAAGGTCGCCGACATGGAAAGGACGCAAGAAACGATTGTCTCTGAGCTCAAGGACGTTACAGCACTCACCAAGTACCTCAAGGCGGAGAACGTATTACGACGGCAGATTGCGCAGGGTTTATTCGAAGCATACAAGGAAGCACAAATCGAACTCATAGCCCAGGGTGCTCGTCACCAAGCTGATGTTGACAAGCTTTACGCGGCCAAAGCAGCTGCAGAAGCTCGTGTCAACGAGCTTGCGCAGTTCGAAAGTCAGGTGATTGACAGGGCGGAGCAGGTTGCAAACGAGCTTCGGCAATCCACTGCCGATAACGAGAACCTCGCTGAGCAAATTGCGCCCTTGATCAACTCGCTAGGAACTCCCGCTCTCGTAGCGAGTCTTGAAGTTGCACAAGAGTGCTCGCAGGTCGACGAAACAACCCAAAAGGAAAGGACAGCCCACGAAAAGACCTGGCACCAGACCCTCCGACGTGTCGTCAACGAACAGACCGATTTGGTTTCTTCGGTGTTGAACCAGAAAGCGTACGACAAGGGATGGGCATTTGGTGGTCTGCAAGACGCGCAATCAGCTCGAGTAGGTTTTCAGAGCCTGAAAACGTTGCGCGACCATGAGCTATATGCGTATACAAGGGACCAGGTCGACACGCAGGTGTACATCAAGGCCAGGAAGATAGCCGACGGGTACATTGAGAAGTTTCTGGTCGAGAATGAGATCAAAGTCGAGGACTCCCACTGCCAGCTTCTCCATCTGACCATGGTGGCTACAGCGACTTCCGATCCATGCCCATTCTTCAAGCATGAGGCGAGCAACATGGGCCAGGACAAACGAATGAATGGTTACCGGGCCCTCGCGGATAGGGTCGCAAAACACGTCTTCGGCAATGAACTGTAAGTTTTCGACTACACTCTTGCTATAGTGACTGCGAACTGACTCTGATAGGCACTTCGACGAGGAATCACCGTGGTACCAGTGCGATCTCACGAACAGGAGTATCGAGCAGCGATTCAATTTTCATTTCCACCCATGCAACATCACAGAGTCCTCCGGATACTTCGCAGCATTGAAAAAACATGCTTGGCAGATCAACAAGAGTCTGAGGGAGAACACCATGAGTGGCACAGCGAAACATGAGACACTAGGACAAGGAATGTATGGATGTGAACAGGAACACAACGTCGGAGAGAGGGGTTGGGTGCACGGAATATCAAAGAGGTTTCTTTTCAGTCGAGTGTTCGGTGGGTTTATAACTTCTCGAGTTCTCAAGAGAATTACAGACTCCCTCATTCGCCTATAATTGGTTCGGAATCAATGTACAATACTTTGCGAACAATTCTTGCCTAGCTTACACGAGATGGTGAAACATGGTAGGTTTCCCATTAACTAACTACACATGGTTGCACAAAAAGATTCCCAACGCATTCTGCAAGTCTTAGCCTGGCATCGTTCGAGCTAAGTGCGATGATCTGATAAGATTAGATGTCATCGTGACCATGTTGAGGCTGTTAGTGTTGGGGGCCTTGAGGGGCAGTTGGTGCGCCGGCCAATGGTGGCGGCACGGCTCCATTCTTTCAGCTCCAAGTATAACCGATCAACATAACTATCACTAATATTGAGTACATACTTCAATAGACTTGTTCGTCTCTTATTCAGAGCTGCAATACTTTTTCTATTGCGCTCAAGTCCTAATATTCATATTCACGATACTTTTACAGACGAGCCGTTGCCCCAGGGCAGCGGCAGGTTATCAGGCGACTGCCACGTGAATACCCTTTCTCGGATTCTTCCATCTTTCGGGCGAGACCTGTTAGTCTAGTTAGGGCTGGAGCTTCGGCGCGCACTGCTCGATTTGATGACCTGACCGCCACTAATATTATGAGCCAAGGGCTTGGCAATGCAGGTTGCAGTGGGGCAGCTGAGAGGGCGAAGGGACATTGGATCTTATCTGATCATCTAGCACTTATCTGATCATCTAGCCGCTGCTAACGCTGTCTAGGCACTCCATCCTACCTGGACGGTGGGAGATGATCCCAAGCCACCGGGTGGGATACACGGGGCAAATTTTTCACGTCTTGTTCATGTCCTGACCTTTCCTGTCCGGTTCTCGGAGTGGGCCCTGAAGATACTTAAGAATGCTTCCGTCTGCTGGTCTTGGGATCGACATCCACCTGCATTTTAATTCAATACCCTGCCTCGGCCGGCATCTTTTCGGAAATTCCGTTTGACCATGGCGAACAACACTTTCGAGACCGACGTGGTGCGGCCTGCAGAGGGCTTTCCTCGTCCCTCGCACAGCATAGACGTTGAGAAGAGGGGCGATGGAGCAGTCCACTCCCACGAGATGGCCAGCGACGCCGAGTCCAAGTCCATTGAGTCGGAAAACTTCCAGAATGGCGTTCAACGTGTCCGCGCCATCACCGAGATATGGAGCAAGAAGACTCTGATCGCCATGTTCATCTTGTTCGTCGCTCCTTCTCCCAACCAACGATCAAATACTGACCGACTTTTAGCTTGTACCTTATCGAGTTTGTTGCTTTCCTACAAAATGCCATTGACGCAGCGCTCAACCCTTTCATCACATCGGCTTTTGGAAGACACGGCCTGTTGACCGTTTCGAGCGTCATGGCAACAGCACTGAGCGGTTGTGTTCCCCTTCTCATTGCCAAAGTAATCGACGTTTTCGGTCGCGTAGAGGGCTTCTTCCTTATGCTCCTTCTTGTCGTCTGCGGTATGGCCATGAAGGCTGCTTGCCAGAACGTGCAGACTTATATGGCTGGTCACGTTCTCTACTGGGCTGGCCATATTGGCGTGCTATATGTTACTGACATTATGGCTGCCGATATCACCACATTGAAGAACCGAATGATCATCCTCACTATCAATGGAACGCCTCGTATCGCTAGCACTTTCGCCGGTCCTAAGATTGCGGAGCTCTTTTACTACAAGAACAACTGGCGCTGGGCTTTTGGTGCATTCATCATCATCTTCATTGGCTGCTGCCTTCCCGCTATCGTTGTCATGATGCTCATGTACCGCAAGGCCAGGAAAGCCGGCTTGGCCAAAAAGGAAAAGTCGGATCGCAATTTCCTGCAGTCAGTTTGGTACTATTTTGTGCAATTCGATGGTAAGCTCCTCATAAGATACACGTGACACATGCTAACATGGCCTAGTTTTTGGCATTATCCTTATCATGTGCGCGTGGTGCTTATTTGTTTTGCCCTTTACTCTCGTATCCTACGCTCCCAACGGCTGGAAGACACCTTACATCATTGCCTGCATCGTGCTGGGTCTCATTCTCTTCCCGGTCTTTTACATTTGGGAGGCCAAGTTCGCGCCTGTCCAGTTTTTGCCTTGGATCTACCTTAAGAACGGTACCATTGCCGGCTCATGCCTTCTCTATGGAGTAATGTTTCTCTCCGTGTTTTGCTGGAACGGATACTTCTATTCATACCTGCAGGTCGTTCACAGGCAGAGCATCACGCATGCTAGCTACATTCTCAACGCTTTCTCGCTTACGTCGTCAGTTTTCAGCCCGATAATTGCGTTGTGGATCAGGCATTCTGGCAACTTCAAGTGGACAGCTTACACTGGTGTTCCCATCGTCCTGCTTGGTACCGCACTCTTGATTCCTTTCCGGAACCCATCTACCAACCCTGGTGTCCTTGCCTTTACACAAGTCCTTGTTGGTCTTGGCACAGCATTTTTCGCTACTTGTGCTCAGCTCGCGGTCATGGTCCCCGTCACACATCAAGAGATTGCTGTAATCAACGCCATCTATGGTCTCTTTGGCAGCTTTGGCTCTTCAATTGGTTACGCTATTGCTGGCGCCATGTGGAATAACATTCTTCCTGAACAACTCCTCAAGCGCCTCCCCGAATCTAGCAAACCAGACTACCGCACCATCTTTGGCGATATTGCAGTTCAAATGTCTTTCCTGGACGGTACACCTGAGCGCGATGCTATCGTTGGTGCGTACGGTGATGTGCAGCGCAAGATGGTCATTACAGGTGCATGTTTCGTTCCCCTTTGCCTGGCCTGCATTTTTGTTTGGAAGAACATTAACCTCAAGAAGCTAGAGGAAGAGGAGGGCAAGCAGACTAAGGGAAATGTTTTCTAGATAGTTTCATTGAAGTTTGGCTATTCTGTGTGCGCGAAATGGTATATATACTAAAAACCCCAATTTTGCTTCATATCGTCCAGGCGAATGCCCTCAATCTCAAAGGCACCATCTTCCGTTCCTTCAATTTGATGTCACTCACTCCTTTGCCTTTGCCCTCTCCCTCTCGACCCCCTTCTTGATACGTGCGATAAGCATGGCCGTTGCCTCTTCATGCGGAACATCCTTGGATTCCACAAACTCATAGATTCCTTGTGCTTCTTTCTCCAGCCTACTCTGGAAAGCGCGTCTACTAGAAGCCGCCGCCAAGATAATCGCGAGAGGGCTTGTAATCATGAATCTTCTCCATGAATTTAGCCTTTGTTCGATATAAGCTTTGTCGATGTCAATATCTGCCAGCTCGAGAATCTCATTGATTTCTTCGCGGACACCTTCTTTTGTCATGGTTGGATCCTTCCTTGAGTCCTCTGGGGTAGCGCTGTTGCTGTTGCTGTTGTTGTTGCTGTTGTTGCTGTTGTTGCTGTTGTTGCTGTTGTTGCTGTTGTTGCTGTTGTTGCTGTTGCTGTTGCTGCTGTCCCCTGGACCTTCTGGCGCAGCATGGTTGCTGTTGCTGTTGCTGTTGTTGCTGTTGCTGTTGCTACTGCTAATGTTCTCGATCTTATCCAAGGATCCGATCAAATCGGAGGCGAGCATGTTGAATGCCTCAACTAAAGAAAGGTTGCACACCCGAGAATTCCCACCAAATTCTGCGGCATCCAAGGATTTGAAAACAATAGGCTGGAGCTTGTTCAAGAACTCGAGGAATTGTTCCCTGGATAGAGAGAAATTCTCCTTACTGGCAGAGGCCTTCATATCTAGGAACCCCGCCTTGAAATTGCTGCTATCTTTGTAACCTAACTGGTGGATACTCTTGTGGACGCCGTCCAGATGTTCGCCCATTATATCATCGGACTTTATTGCTTCGTATACAGTTGGGGTCATTTTTCGAAGATGCTCCCTTATCGTTGTCATCATCTTCTTGAATGAAGTGCTCATTTTGAGTTTGCCCTGGGTTTATTAGACGAAGAAAAGAAGGAAATAAAGTATTTTTGTTCGGTCTTTGGGTTTGCGAGAAGGAGAACAAGGATAAAAAGAAAGATAGAGTAAGAGTAGATATCGCGAAGCGCAATTCACGGACCGTAAATAGTGTGGAGTTGCAAAGGTAAAGGTCGCTTTAGCTAGATCATCTCACCTTTGTCAATCAAGGTAAAGGCGTCTGGTAACTACTACCAAGGGCTACAGCATCGAGTGTAAATGAGTTCTATACTCTAGAACCTAGTTCTTACATACACCTCGTGGAACCTCAACTTTTGCCAGATTATCAGACCGAATGAAAGGAATATTGGCATCTTGGGGAACCATGAACTGGTCAACCTGGCCCTTCCTTGTCTTGGGTCGACATGACAGCGTAGCACAACTCTGCCGCTGTGCAACGTATTTACCCTTTGCTGCAGAAATTGTGACGAATACAGGTTCACGGTCGATAGGCTTACTGTGTGGTGTGGCTCCACACCGAATACACATCAAAGCCAACTCGCGACCAACATGTACGACAGCAGTCTGCAGAATCGGATTTTTTGATCTCGTTTTGTTCGGCACAATCTTGATTGGAGTTGTGTACGACGAGGTCTGCGGAGCAGTTGCGGTTCGGGGGGCTTGAGCAGGCATATTCCGTGTCAGATTCCTTGGCATGCGCACGCCGTTATTCCATGACGAAGCCTTGGGCCGAATACTCTGGATACGATCATACAGCAGCTGAGCTACGCTCCAACCAGCGGTAAAAGAGCTAACCATATGGCCCATTGTAATTTCGTGTTCGCGTGCAAATTGTAGAGCTGATTCCGGCAGGTCGCGTGGGAGGCAACGCACCCTATTCTGTTTCTCGAGTTTCCTAGTTGTATCCATGTCACGAAAAGCGATTTTTTGGGTCGCGGCGGCCTTGACACTTCTGGCGCGTTCTTCGAAGTAATGTGGATGCACATTGAGGTTCCCTAGAGCAGCAGCTACGTTGATGCATGCGTCATAGTATCGCCCAGCCCATACAGTCCAGTGCCAGACCAGCCATTCTGGATGTGGGCAGTAGACCACAAGATACTCGATCGACCGGTTAGGCTTCCGCACTATACCGAGCGTGACGAGTTCTGTGGGGCTGGCGTTCACAGTGCGCTCAGTGACTGACCGACGTTGGTTGAAGTCCTTTCGATTAGGTGCACCGAACACAACCAGAACCTTCTTTGCAAGCGATTCACATCTCTGGGAAAAGCTTGAGTGCAACTCTTTTATGTTCGGAGGCCAGTGCTTTGTCGCGACCTCCTGGTGGCGGCTGCTTGCAGGGGCCTGTCTCCGGAAACAGGATTCGTACCAGAGGGCGTTCGAAGCATTCAACCCCTTTAACATCAATAGCCGTGTTGAGTTATTCGAGTCGTCCGCCGATTCTCCATATTCGAGGCGCTTGGTTCGGAACGTGGGGTAGTTGAGCTTGAGATGCACATTGTGAGCGGGATCCCCAGATGGTTCGACGATAAGAGCGGGATTCCAACCAGAAATAGTTGATTCCTCGCAGCGAAAAGCTTCGAATTGAGCCTTGAATTTATCCCGTTCTATTGTTTCCTCGCTCATACGCAAAAAGTTCTCGACCTCATCCCATTCCGTTTCGAGTGACTTGCGAACGCGTCCCCGTAGCTGCTCAAAGTAAGCCACTACATCTCCCTCGGACATGTTCGCAATTGGCAAATGCCCAGCTGAGTTTTCATCAGCTTCAGCAGCTGGCTCAGGATCCTGCATGTCCAAAAACGAATTGTCATCATCAAGCACACTCTCGACGCCCAGATATAGGGCCTGTTCGAAGTCGTCCTTGTCGAGGTCGGGTAAGGTGTGCATTTTCGTATTGTAAGGAGGTTCGATCGTCATTGTTGGTATGCAGGTTTGATTGAAAGACGCAGTCCTCGTTACTAGGCTACCCTGCTGCCAGGAATTAAGAGTTGTTTGCATTGATTCCTTGGGTCGGCGTGGGAGCTTGTTTGGTTCTTCATGTCGAACTCTGCAAATGTTAGTACAGTACCATGATACATCTGAGTGCTAGTTACCTCTTTTGGTTCGATGGTGAAGCCGATGTGCTCTCTGGTAAGAAGGGAAGCTTTAGCTGGCGTTTATGCGGAGGCTGCATGTCTGTTCAGAAGGGGACTCGTAACAACCACAGCTAATGGAAAAGGGGAGAAAGGAATGTCGAACATGAAGAAGTCAGCTCGAATTTGCATCGTTCCGGCCTTTGAAACGTCACTGAGAATCAAAGGGAAGGAACCATGCTCCTGCCATAACAGTCGCAACATGGCTCCTTCCCATCCATTGCCTTGGCTTGATGGGTGTGGACCGAGCCTCCAGATGGCAGCCTAAAAAACGCGGTATCCCTCATGATAGATGTTGTTGCTCAATTAAGGGAGTCTGATAGCGCGATACTGATCTGTTGTATGCGCTACTGAAGACGAAATATAGAAGAAGCAGAGGCGTTGACGAAGAGGGGGGGACGTGACGCGGGGCCCAGGATGGGTGCCTGGCGATCGGTGTTTGTGCACGTCCCCCAAAACTTTTGGTGACATCAACGTCAACCGCGTCGTCTATGCATAGAGAAGAACGCTACAAACCCACACAGCAGCAATGAAGCCACCAAATTCCACGAGAGCGATAGGCTCAATTCGAACCCATGTCTCAAAATCTCCAAGCTTTCGTCTATTCCAAAGACCCATGCCATTCCACAGACTTCCCGCATTGGCATCGCGAAGTATAACGACCACACCTCCAAAACACCATAACCCTACACCCAACTCCACCGTCGATCCAACCGAAGTTTCCCACTTCAATGCGCTCGCGTCATCATGGTGGGATCCTCATGGCCCTTCACGGCCCCTACACCTGATGAATCCCCTTCGCCACGAATTCATAACGCGATGTCGTTCCACCATAGCCCTTCCCACACCAGCCCAGAAACTCCGCTACCTAGATATCGGTTGTGGCGGTGGAATCTTCGCTGAATCGGCTGCACGGCTCCCAACCACCACGTCCGTCACGGCAATCGACCCCACACCTCAGGTCCTCACTATTGCTGAGGCGCACAAGCGCCGCGACCCTGTGCTGACATCGCCTGGCAAACTCACGTATCTGAACACCTCTATCGAAGACTTCCCTCGCCCAAATTCGGATACAGAAGCGTTCGATATTGTCTCGCTCTTCGAAGTCATTGAGCACGTTAATGCCCCAGGCCCGTTTTTAGAGCACGTATTACCACATGTAAAGCCCGGAGGATGGCTCATAATGAGCACGATAGCAAGAACATGGACGAGCTGGCTGGTTACGAATGTGATTGCGGAAGATGTGCTGGGTATGGTACCCAAGGGAACGCATGAGTGGAGCAAATATGTCAATGAGGAGGAGCTGAGGGATTGGTTTGCAAAGCAGCCAGGATGGGGCAATGTGAAGAGCATGGGCGTCATGTATGTGCCTGGGCTAGGTTGGAAGGAAGTTCGAGGGAGCGAGCAATGGGGGAATTACTTTTTTGGTGTGCGGAGAGAAACTTGAGATGTGGATTGTAAATGTGTGGTTCACGTTATTGGTATAGGTTCAGTGGGAGCATGATACCCAAAAAGTAATGTACAATACATGCGACGCCCTTTCAAACGTTTCCTAGGTCTTCCCTCGATATTTTCATATGGATTGGTGAGCTGAGCGCCCAACCATGCCTCCTTACACAATCACCGGATATGCCCACTCTCGTCCTAAAATTCCAATCCATGGAAGATTCATTCCCAGCTATTTGCTTGTTTCCCGTCATGATTTTGTCGCAGGTCGTTCCTCGAAAGGTGTTGGCATGTTTCGGCTCGAATCCGATACGCTATCTGCAGTCTCCACAATATCATGTCCACCCGACATCTTCCAGGCTCTCAGGTAGTCCTCACCGGTGAAGCGCTTGGGGTAATTTTGCGCGGTGCCTGAGTCCAAGTCTCGTACTTTCTCTAGACTTGCATCTACAAAGGGCGTCAACTATTCGCTGTCAGCCCACTGTCCTCTCTGCGCTTCCCAACCACAACCCCTAGAATTCTCACACATACCTCGCTGTTCTTTGTGCCATGTATCGGATACACATATGTCCGTATCTTGCTCCAGTCTGGTGTGAAGTTGCCGTATTTGTTGATTGTGCCCATGGACCCCACGCGGTTTCCCTTGTAGTATTCCTTGCCGGCCTGTTTCGGGGAGAGCGGCAGACGCCGCAGCATCTTCTGCAGAGAGGGTGTGGGCTTGAGCATTGCGGCGGTTCGCTCGTCGGCGTGTGATGAAGCGAGCAATGCCAAAGCGACGTCGGTATGCGCAGAGGTTGATGGACGCTGCGGAGTTCGCGCGGAGGTGGCACGGACCACAACTCGAAAAAAGTGCAGCCAAGATTTCGACTTTTGGATTTGCCCGCCCCAGCGACCTTCACCACCGCCACAACACCAAGATGCCACCTCGTATTGCAAGAAGCTCGATTCAGAGTGGCGGCTCTTCTTCAAAGGGTCGCTCGAATGCGCGAAACCCTAAGAAGGCGCAGAAGCGCGCCCTTGACGCCTATGCCATAGCCGAGCACGAGAATCTGGATAGCCCAAAGATTCGTAAGAACCGCCTGGGCGAATTCGACCCCGCTTTCAACCGGAAGCGAGCGCGCGACGATGACGAGGACAATGAGGAAGACGAGGACGAAGACGAAGATGAGGGCCCCAAGAGGCGAAAGAGGAGAACGGGCGACGAGAGTTACGATGAAGGCAGCGACTCGGAGGGCAATACTTGGCAAATGGGCCACGTCGACAATGACGATAGCGATGACAGTATAGACTCCGATGAAGCCTTTGGCGATAGCGATGAAGAAAGGTTCGAGGGCTTCACGTTCCGGGGCAGCTCAAAGAGCCAGAAGAACAAGCCGAAAAAGTCCAAGAGACAGCAGAATCTACAAGATGAGGACGACGGCATTAATCTAGACGAGGGTGACAGTGCAGACGGTGAGGAGGATTACGACGAAGACGATCTAGGTGAGGATGCTATTGACCTGGCAACCGCGCTGGATCAGTATGAGGAGGATGAGGCAGAAGAACGGAGAGAGAAGAACAAACAGAAGAAGCGTATTTCAGCATCTGGTGACAGCGACGACGAGCCAAGCGACAACGATGTCATGGGATCAGACGATGATTTTGAGTCGTTCTCTGAAGACGAGAGTGATAACGCCGACGATCGACAGGCGCAACTGCAAGACTTAATCTCCTCCCTAGCATCCAAGGAGGATGATGGCAAGCCCAAGGGCAAGAGAGTCGAGGTTCACGAGTCTGCTGCACCAGACGAATTTGGTGTTGCGAGAAAGGTAGACCTACTCAGTCTCAAACCCAAGGTCGCAGACGCAGAGAAGAAGAAAGCGCTGAAACTACTCGAAGACGACAAATCATCGAAACGTAACGACATTGCGCGGAAACTAGATGCACCCCTACCAAAGCGAGCACAAGACAAGCTTGACCGTGCCGCTGCCAACGCCAAAGCAAATGAGACCCTCGAAAGGTGGACCGACACGATCAAGCGCAACCGCCGCGCTGAGCATCTCATGTTCCCTCTACAAAATGCTAGCGGGGGCGAGCCTACAGGAGAAAAGACTCTCCAGCCCACCACAACCGCTGCTCCTACAAACGACCTCGAAAGCACCATACAGTCTATCCTCCAGCAAAGTGGCTTGTCTAACGGCAAGGAGGACGAGGAGAAGTTGCAGAAGTGGGAGGAGCTCCAGACGAACAAACTCCCCATGGAAGAGGTTCTCAAGCGACGTGCTGAACTGCGTATGCAACGCGAGCTTCTCTTTCGCGAGGAGGTTCGCGCCAAGCGCATCAAGAAAATCAAGAGCAAGTCTTACCGCCGTGTGCACCGAAAGGAACGCGAGAAGATGCTGGAGAAGGAGCGAGAGCAACTCAAGGCGGACGGTGTTGATCTTTCCGAGGAAGAGCGCGAGTACAATGATCGTCGACGCGCTGAGGAGCGCATGGGCGCCAAACATCGCGAAAGCAAATGGGCTAAGGGCATCAAGGCTACAGGACGGGCAGCATGGGACCAGGATGCGCTTGATGGCGTTACAGAAATGGCTAAACGCAACGAGGAGCTTCGTCGCCGCGTCGAGGGCAAGGCTATCCGCGACGACGAAGAGGGCTCGGATGTACCGAGCGATGAGGAAAGCGAAGACGATGAGCAGTCTGATGAAGATGCACTTCAAAAGTCCCTTGGCAAGCTCAAAGAGAACCCATTTTCAACTGGCAAGTCCAAGTTGGGAATGATGGCCTTTATGCAAAGATCAGAAGCTGCCAGACGTGCGGAGAATGATGAGGCTGTTGAGCGCATCCGCCGAGATCTTGCTGACGAAGACAGCGATGAAGACGAGATTGACGAGAATGCAACTAAGGCTGGAAGACGGAGATATGGACCTAATGGCAATGTCGCCGCTCCAGCAATACAAGTCGGTCGCAGCGAGTTTGAGGAGCATGCTGGGTCAGACGATGAGCAGCCTGCTGCAAAAAACGAAGACTCCGCACCAGAGCTATCCTCGAACAGGTCTTCCGCGCCAAAGAGAAATGGCATCAGTGGTCTCTCTAACGGTACACGCAAAGAGCGCAATGCTGCACCAGCGCAAACAGCAGAGAATGAGAGTGGCTCTTCCAACCCCTTCTTAGTCAAGGCGAAGAAGGAAAAGAAGACGCCAAAGGAACCTGAGCCTTTCCCTGTCACAGAAATCCCGAAGCCTGTGGTTCAAGAACAAACTGTCGTCGTGTCAAAACCAGCCGCGAAAGCAAAGGTACAGAAAAAGTCGAAACCTGTCGAGAAGCCTCAGGAAACCAAAGTGGATGATTTCCTCAAGCAGCGCATTACTGCCGCTGATGACGATGGCTGGGCAACCGTGTTGGGTGGTCAAGATGACGAGGAAGATCAGGACGATGAAGACATTGAAAACGAGGGCATTGACCTTGACATTGTCATGCGCAACCAGGCTCTCACAGCTAAAGGCTTTGCGGGTGATGATGTAGTCGCCGAGTTCGATGCTGAGAAGAAGGCCACCATTACTGAGGAAGAAACTACCGAAACCACTTCCATCCTTCCTGGCTGGGGTGCCTGGACTGGAGAAGGCATGTCGAAAGCCGAGAAAAAGCGCAACATCGGTACCAAAACCGTAATTCACAAGTCTGGTATCGACGCTGCCAAGCGCAAAG